GTATCTCAAAATACTCGTATGAAACCATCTTGCTCAAGTAGTGAAAGGTCTGCATTTCTATTAGGTGCTCAAATAACTTTATATGAATTAGCCACAGAGAAACGGCTTGAATTTTGCGATTTTGAGTTTGTTGCCAGAAAATTGCAAAAGGTCGCCAACTAGCCAGGAATTTTAAAAGCAACTAGCTGATCTGCCCGGTCCAGCCCGGGAATGATCACTGATCGGGAATGAAGATAAGGTATTCGGTGGCATTGTAGAGACTGTGTAAAGAACAAAAACAAAATGTGAACACTTATTAGTCGGTAGCATATCTCTCTTTCTCCAAATCAAGTTCAATACGCAAAACCTAAGCAAGCAGCGCGAGTTAGTTGATAGCAGCGCTCATTGTTATTATGAGGATCATTTTTTGTGGCACTTTGCCGCTAACCGGCTACTTCATCTTCATTCACTGCTTGCCGTCAAATTGCTGGAGTCGGCAGTACTTTGCACTCGCGCACTTTCCTGGTCCCAGGATCAACTATAGCGAATGTGAGTTGTCGCTTGTCTTGTCTTTGTTTCAAAGAGTAAATAGCTTTATAACCTTTTCTTCACTTTGTGCATGACATAGAATTAACGCTCCCTGTCTTATGAGATAGTCTTTTACAGTCGTTTGACTATTCACTACAAAATTCAAAGCCTTCACTTTTGTGGACGCTGTTTTGACGAACAAAAGTATGACGAATATTGATTGGCTCACACTGACATCACAACAGTCCTTTTAAAGGCAGCGCCCAGGCAGATCTGGACCTATGGGGATTTTACGTGAATAGTAATTTTGGGGCCTTAACTAAGGCACTGCTCAAGCGACCGCACAGGTAAATCACTAACGGCAGAGATATGCGCCTTCAAAGTGGACCCCAGGAACTGTTAGCATGGATCCATGGCAGTTTCGCCCGAGGACCCAGCTTTGCGCCATGAATCCATGTGAAGTACGATCCCGGGGTCCAGTTCCGAGGAGAATATCTCAGCCGTTAGAGCACTATCTGAGCTGCCGGTTGGGCAGTGGCTTAGTTAGGGCCCCAAAACTACTATCCACGTGAGCCCATGTGTTCAGACTTGCCTGAACGCTGCCTTTAATGCGTTATAGCCACTCGCACCATAAAGTCAATGTATTTTGCAAAAGACATGAAATGTGGAAGCTACATTTCCAAACGCTTTTCACCCTGCTTTCATGACAGAGGTTTAGAATGAAACATACTGCTCTTGCTACATGATTCGATGAAAATGATATGACAGTGCCGCTTCATTTCTCTACTTAGGTTGCAAATAATCAATAAATCGATAGAAGGACCCACTGAATTGTCGCAAAAAGTAGCCTATCTTCTGCGCCTGGCCTCATTTATAGGGGAGCAAATTTCAGCCTCATCGGTTCACAAACAAAGGAGTCTATAAGCCTTACTAACAACTTACATACTAACAAATTTACAGAAATTGAGTTTTATTTATATATAGATTATAGAGCAGTAGTACACAGCCTACTGTGGCAGGCTTTCAGCTCGCATGAAAAACAAAAATTGGAACTCGTTTTGCAGAAAAATCCGCTTACACTGCCTTTTTTAGTTAAAGGACTGTGTTGTGTCCTTCAACTTCGGACACTCTTCGAACCTTCGACTTGTCGGCACAAGAGCAAACAGGAGTATTTATTAGAGAATGATACAGTAAAAGAGAGGCGAATGAGTGAACAAATGAACTGACTAAGGTTATAAGTGAGCGCCTTCTATAGCGCTCATTTCCCACGCACTGAGGTCGCATTCGACAGCGCGAGGGAGATCACTATGAGGAACAACCGATCACTTACAATCACATACTGTCTGACGTCCAAAAAACTTGCAGTTTTCCAGGTAAGCACTAGGTTGAATTTTTTTCAGTTTCGACTGTATGATTGAAAAAGATGTAGCGATAAGGGCATTTTTCTTCTACCATGATATTCATCATGAATTTTTTTCATGCATCTCCATACCGTAGGCTATCACAAAGAACTGTGGACTGCTGCTGAGTGAGAAATTTTTCCAATTTTTTTCGGACTAGCTAACGTAACTTCGCAATTCCCTGGCACCCAACCCAAGTTAAAATTTGAACGGCCTTGTCTGGAAGTTTTGTTCTTGGTGACTAGCTCACGTGAATTAACGCTTAAGCGTGTATCGTAGAGCAAAGCATTCTAACATTTCTTGAAAGGCGAATTTAGGTCCAGGATTTGGAAAATCATCGAATTTCCGGAATTACGCAAGAACATTCATACCAATCTAATTTTATTTGACTAAATTTATAGATTTCGGATAAGGAGCTGGTGCGGCGGCTCGTAAAAAGAAAAGCACACGCAACGTTATCAGATCTTGTTAAAGTGATAAGCTCTCAAATGCGACAGTCGTACTCACCTTGCAATGGGAAGCAGGGTAAAACGATCAGAGCTATGGTCACTACTTGTTTTTGTGGTAGGAATTACAATAGGAATTGCTGGCACCACACTTGCCATTATTTTTGGAGTTCAAAGTAAGTTTTTATTGCTCTTTGTATCAGTTATCCAACTTGATGTTAATCAATGTGCTTATGCTTATTATCCTATAAGAAATTAACCTTATATATAACCATGAAGTTTGAGCAAAGAAACTTTTGAATATAATGTGAGCTTTAGGTTTTGCAGCTCACAAGGAGAGGATACTTAGTCGAAAGCACCAATCCATTTGAGACATATATAGTCGTGACCTACTCGGAGCGCTAATTTCAAATCTGTCCTCCTTATCTGCGGAGCGACTCTGGGTGAGGATCTATGACCGTTTCAAGAGCCAAAAATTGAATGGGTAAAGAAAATAAAATTGATTGTTACAACATGTATAATTCGCGGATAGACTCGTTTTGAATGTGAATATAGCATACAGACATTTTTCTTTGCGCAGAGCAATCTGACAGACATCACTCCCCCATTCGAGCCTAACTTGGGACTTCTGCGTATTTTTTCCCTCGACCTCAAATTTTTCCACAAAACAGCCGTAACTCATTGCCGAAAGGCGCTCCGCAGCTGATTTTGCCAGGTTTGAAATCAGCGCTCCGAGCACGTCACGATGATATATGCCCCGTCTGGATCGGTGCTTTCGACTAAGTATCCTCTCCTTGTCAGAATTTCACACTTTTGAGCGTCTTGCCCGTAAAGGTGTGAAGTTTGTCAAGAATTTTCTGATACAATCCTCTATTTTCTTTTTTGCATTGTCCTATATTATAGCTCATGTGGATCTCATAGTATGACCTCGATTTACACAATTGCTTCTGTAGGACAATATTCTTTAGATAAAACATTTTGTGCTGAGACTTATTATTCTCCGTGTTATGCCTTCACTATATTTAAAATGACTTTGATAAATATCAAAAAAATTTTGAATCTGAGCATTCTCTTTCAGTCATCCATCAACACTAATGGCTTCCCTTACATAAAAGAAATAGTGATATTTTAGACAGGGTTTCTATCTAAATCAGGGTACAGCTTCCCTCCCATAACACTTGATCATCGCAAACTATTTCTACTCTGAGTAAAAAAGAAAAACTTTCGCGAAATTATTCCGCTTGAATACTGATTTTAACATGGAACACCCGAGTGAGGAGAGCTAAATTCGGTAATTTTCGGAAACTTAGACCTGTGGAAAATGAAAATCTACGGTTATACTCCTGAGGGCTTGTAGTATGCAATTACTTTTGTACAAACATGAAAATCATCGTTTTCCTGATTTCTAAACGAGGAAAAATGCACACATGAGTGTCTGACGTAGTGTGCAGTTTTTGTCAGCGAGTTGGATGTTAGTAGGACTCTTTTGCACGAAGATATGAATTTTTAAATATGAATTTCTTTGCATTGTAGCTTTCAGGGTTCCATCAAAACCACATAGCAACATTTTTTGGATTCACACATCTCAGCAAAGCTAACGGTGAACTTCTCGTAAATAACAATGGCTAAAGCAAACGCCAACCTTCTTCAACTGCCAGAGATTTGCCTTCCTTGAAGCTTATCCATTGTGTGATCTTTCGTCCTTGCAGCTTTTACAATAAATTTCAGTCCTCAAAAGAACTGATACTTGAATTAAACATAGATAAGAAGCTGAAGTTCCCGTCATTGTGACAAATCCAAATCTTGGATTAAACAAGAGCACAGAAAACTCTCTCGATTGAGATATAAGACCTCTATCTATTCTGGTCTGTTTTGGATACTGCACGATCCTGGCCTGATTTTGCGCTGCCATCTGTTAATTGTGCTAGTGAAAGTGCCAGTGTTAACAAAATTCAAACAGGCAAACGACATTGAATGGATGGATGCCAAAATAATATGCACCCCATTTTTAAGCGTTGAAAAAACTATAGAAGTAATTTTTGCTGAGCGTTTGGTCCTTCTATCTTTTCTGCCCCACTTCAAGCGCCTTTCATTCAACTGATTCAAAGATTTCATATTTTTCCGCTTTAAGGCCAGCAGCTGTTAGTCATAAATTTAGACTCAGGTTTTCCTCCTGTGCAAATAAATACCTTCGCATTCTCCAGCCCTCTCCCCCCCCCCCCCCCAAGAATCTTTTAAGATGCCTGTCTTTGCCTATTCCAAAAAATTATTGAAATATTTTATTTATTATTTACAAATACAAACAATCACTTGCAAAAAGTTATAACTCATGTAAGGTACTTTCGAAATTTGCCACTTATTCTGCTCCCCCCCCCCTCCCCTCCCACTTCACCTTTTTTTTGCTAGGCGCGCATTTACGATATGTAAATTGCATCTTGTACGAATAGTCACAACTTGCACAAATTGTACGATAACCAGAATCAAAATCTTCAAAACACAGGAATTTGTATATATTTTTGTTTCAGATTCAAAACCGTGCTCCTGCGATAAAGTCAATGCAGAGCTGTTTAGTTCTCAAGTTGGAATTCAAGTAAGAAAATTTCGACATACCTCAGTGCAGCTAATCATCAAATTCCAGAAAAGCTATATGTCTTGGAACGAAGAGTTCAACAATCCAAGCTCTCGTGAGTACATGTCTGCTGTACAAAATCTTTCAGCAGCCGTAAGTTGACTTTTTCATCAAAGCGAGACATTCAGTAATCACATAATGCAAAATCGTGCAAAATCACTGTAGGAAAAAAACCGGATTCGCTTTTTCGAAGCTTTCGAAGCTAGGCAAAGAAAATTCTCTATCCAAACGTTGAATGAAAATGGAGTAGTTGTCAGGCATTTCTTTCATGACTTCTTGATAAACGACAATTATACGCAATTTTAGCGAGTTTCAAAGAAACCCCTTTTTACCTCTTTTATTGATTTTTCTACTCTGTTAAATATAGCTGGCCATCTTATATCACCATAGCAATTCTTTTGCTTGAAGTTTTCTTATGTTCTTGAAATCATCGTAAATCACCACGTACTATTTCCATATTTACTTTATAAAGTATATTCAAGCCCAAGAATAGAGTTTAATAAAAAATCGCTACTTGGGCAAAAGGTCTATGCTTGGTACTGACGAAATATGTTTTCAAAACCCAAATAAGGAATTCAAATTCTCGGAAAAAAGAAAAGAAGAAAGAGGAAACGGCGAAAATTAATACAAATAATACCAGTGGAAAAAAAAGAGTCAGTCTGACATAAGAAAGCTAATTCCTGCTTTTGTTACCAAGAAAGAAAGAAGATAAAGGCTGGAAAATGTCTCTCGGAAAAAGGTTTTCATGTGGGGCAATCTCTGTAACACCATGTCCCCTAAAGGTCTTTTTTTTTCCAAAATTGAGTTTGCGCAACGACTTCTTGGACTAAAATCACGCATTTCAGCTGACTTCCGCTCTGATTTCGGGTAATACAAATCGAAGAATGTTTGCTGCACTACCTTCAGGCACTTCAGGATCAGTTCAGGTGGCTCAGCTGAGGTACGCTCTGTATAAAGCAGCAATCACTATGCTGGTATTTTACTTGTTCCGATTTATGCACAACTCTTCTTTTCCTCAGATTTGCTACAGTTCCAAGCATTTGATTATAAATTTCTATGAATTTTAGAGAGGGACAAAATGGCTCTATCATATGCTTTGCTTACGGTACTGTATATGGTAATGTGGACGCATCTGCGTTACCGTCATACTCAGCGATTCAATCACAGATTAACAGTACGACTAGTTTAGCAACTGGTGCTACTGTGGACACTGTTTCAAGTACTAGAACTCTTAATAGTCACAAAAATAGAGTAAGGAATTTTTTTTAGGTCCAATAAACAGCCCATGCAATGTTACCGACTGCAGTACATGCGATGTTGCCTACTGCAGCACTACAGAAGCAACTCAGAGTTCAGTCACGACCACATCGCCTGCGATTATCGTATCCACTTCCAAAAATAGGATTACTACTCAGATAAGCACCTCTACACAGAAGATAGCCACATCACCTACTCCTTCAACAAAACCAGTAACTTCCATACTTACTACCAAGCCTAGCAGCATACCTTCAACAACCACCATCAAAACGTCCGTAAAAACGCAGAAAACTACGCCGAAGCTTACGCCCACTTCGACTGGCCTTACCCAAACAAGTTCTGAACCATCGGCGTCTACTTCTGCTTTCACCTCCGCCAGCTTCTCTCCGTCACCAGCAGAAAATTTCACTTCAACATCAGGTGGGAGCGCATCCACAGCGCAGGCAAATTCGAGTCCGACTTCAGCGTCGCCAACGACTTCTGCAGTTCCTACAAACACTTCTTCAACCCCTACAACTAGTTCGACATCTCCTTTGACAAGTAGTTCCTCTCTTTCTGCAACAAATTCTACAATAGCAGGCAGTTCTACCACCAGTAACACTAAAACTGCATCCACTGGCACACCTTTAACTTCTAGCGCGTTCACAACGGCAGGAAAGACTACTGTATCTAAAAGCGGTTCAACTTCTAATAGAGTAACATCTACAGTCATTACTGCGAACACTACCACAGTCACGTCTACCCTTTCGCCATCCACCAAGTTTACATCTACTTCCAAAACCTCAATCAAAACAAGCACCGTTCCTGCGCCCACGTCTACAGTATCTACCAGCGCAACGGCCTCGCAACCAACTTCGACCATGGGAACTACTGTCGCGAGCACTACCCAACCAAGCCGTTCCCCAACGACTTCTACCACCCTGCCATCGACCAAACCCTTAACAACGGCCATAGAGAGCTCTAGCACCTCACAGCCAACTTCGACCATGGGAACCACTGTCACGAGCACTACCCAATCAAGCCCTTCCCCAATTACTTCTACAACCCTGTCATCGACCGAACCCTTAACAACAGCCATAGAGAGCTCTAGCACCTCGCAACCAACTTCGACCATGGGAACCACTGTCGAGAGCACTACCCAATCAAGCCCTTCCCCAACGACTTTTTCAACCCTGCTACCGACGACACCTTGTATCATTGAACCTTGCACAGGAGTGTTAAAGCACAATGGTGATATTGCTGTGGCATTCGAGTTAACAACGAATACCAGTCAGACTGTGAGTTACACAAAAACTTCAGAATAATGCAATTTAGTTACACTTGAAAAAGGAGAAATATAAACTCTATAATCGACTATTTCATTTGACAAAAAAAGTAGAGTTTAATGGTGTTGTCAGCGACAGGAAACGTTGAAAGTGAAAGGACTTTGACTAAAAAATTCTAATGAAAGAAATTAGATAATTTGACTTACTGAAAAGAATGCTTCTACTCAAACTAATGTAGCAAAATTTTTGTGCATCTACCCTTTGATTTAAGGCTAGGTAATGATCAGAGAGCACGCGCGTGGGAGAGACGTAGACTGCGTCGCGGGCGCGAGCGGCCTTAATTAGGTCACAGAGCCCCGTCTTCCAGCCGCCAAGCCAAGTAATCAGTGGTTACAAGGCCGCCTCTTACGCTTCAATTTGATACCATTTGATTGACACAGAAATACCAAATTTTCGCTAAATTCAACCTAAGTTGGAACCACTGTTAGCGGTTGTCGGTTTCATTAGTAGACGCCGAGAATGAGTGAAAGTCTAAACTTGCATTTGTGTCTTAGTGTGCGCTCCACTATAAACTCTTTCCTTATAACTTTTTACTTGTGACCGAAAGTTTAACTAAGCAGTATCAGGAAATTAGTTCTCTAGAGAGGCTATCGTACTATTGTTAACAGATACTTCATGCCTTGCTAGTTTTGAGCAATCGAAAATCAAGCTTTGTTTTGACAGGGCAGATCTCGCTTTTAAAAGTTAAATAATTTGGAATTAACGTTAACCCGATCGAGACGGAGACATCTAGCAAGAAAAGGATGTTTAGTCAAGTGCCCTCTCACGATGCGATGTATACCATATTATAGAGCATAAAATGCTGATTTAGAATCTGTCTTCCTTATTTATGCGGATCATTTCTGGTTGAAGGATTTCGACCTTTATTAGAGTAAAAGGATAAAAATAAAGGAGAAGGAAGGATAAAAAGGATAAGAAGGATAAAAGTAACATTTTTGCAACATAACATTTTGTAACGTAATATTTAACGTAATATTTTCGCTAAGGCTCCCAAATAGAGTAGTGGTAACGGAGCACTTTGTGCAATCATTGCTTCTAAATAACTTAAAGCAGAGTCCAGGCAAATCTGGACCTATGGGGACTTTACGTGGAAAGTAATTTGAGGCCCCACTAAGGCATGGCCCAACTCAGACAGTCGAAGGGATACCTCCGGAAGGCAAATGGAGCGGGTCTGCCACTTCGCGCTCCTGAGCGCTCCGGAGCCCACCCATTTCAATCATTTTGGTGCTCCGGGGCTCTCCCGAATCTGGCGCACCTCCGGAGCAGAGATTTGCGAGTCACTCCCGGAGAGAGGTCCCATTTGCCTGCTTGTGACGTCACCGTTGTCACTGTCTTTAGTTAGGGTCTGCTACGTGAGATCCAGATTTGGCTGGATGCCGCCTGCAAATTCGCTTTTCGATGTCACATATGAGCGCTAGGTAGGCTCTAACAACTGATCTATACTAAATGCGCCTTGAATTTTCTGCTTTAATAAAGATTCAAAACTCCTTATCCAGAAACGCCGCAGATAGAAGACAGATCTGGAACCACTGTTTTGTGACGGTTGAAAGGTTTACATCTTCAAAGGCCACTTCGACTAAATATCCTTTCCTTGTAAGTCTTTCTCATCGGCGGCAGCCAGCATCCAGTCTCACGTTATCACTCCCCCCCCCTCCCCTAGACCGAAAGTCTGGGTGAAGGCTGCTTGAAAAAGTCTGCTTCGATATAGCATCACAATTTTCCAAGCCTCATTTTGCTTTTTCACGATATTTTCACTAGAACTAAGGCAATAGAAGCTTCGGAATTGAATTTCAAAATTTTACTCGAATAAAAAGTACCGGTAATATCACAAATTTCGAAGTTGGTAGTCTCTGCATTCCACCATTTGCGAAACATATGTGATGAATATTTTTCAGATCATAGAAAATTTCGTGACAACATTGCTCACGTATGTAAACAATCCATACAGGTAGGCCTGACAAGCCATTCCTATTGAGTTGAACCTAAAATTCTGTCGCACCATTTTCAAAAATTCGTAACTTCTCCCAGTCACTACAATTTTCAATTACAAAAATACTAATGAGAAAGCAACTCATGTATCTTCTAAAAACACCTTGCTATCTCTTTACCGTGCTCTGGTTGCATAGATAAAATTGTGAAAATGAAATTAGTTTAATTTCGGAATTTTGAGGCAAGCCCGTTAGAAATTCCAAATCTGTGCAATAAAATTCGAAGGAGCCAGTAACCTAGATTATTTGATTCCCCCTTCTAGCTTAGCAAATTCGCGCTGATCGAGCTCTTTTTAGAAAAGTTACGAATTTTAAGAAAAAGTGCCAAAAAATCGGTTTCATAAGAAAATTGATTTTTGCCATTCTTTCTCAAAAATCATAACCTCTCAAAAAACATCTCTATCAAATTTTGCTCCGGTAGAAAGAGGAGGTCGACTAATCTAGAATACAGCCTGTTCTGGATTTTATCGCCAGTTGAGGATTTTTAACGGGCTTGCCTCAAAATTCCGAACCTGAAGTTATTTCCTTTTGTCATTTTTATCTCTGCAGTCAGAACCCAGGGGAGGGCAAGCAAGATGTCATCAGAAAGTACATGAATCACTGCCAGTATTTTTGTAGTGGACAACTACAGTGAAAGGAAAAAGTTACGATTTTTTAAAAATGGTGCGACAGAACTTTCGGTTCAACCCAATATTTGATTTTGCAAAGAAAACCTTTCCAGCTTCTCTCCGGATGCGATCACGAGTGCAACTCCAACGGCTTACATGCTGGCACCTTACCCGCAAACGACGACGTATTACCCACCAACTTATGGCAAAGGGTAAGTAGCGCAGAAATTTCATTTCCGCATTACCTAAGCTTATTTTCTTTATCGGGAATTCGGCGTAGAAAAGAATCCAAGAAGGTGGCAAATCTTGGGTGTGTCCCATGAACAAAGTGTTTCAAGGAACCTCATGCAAACAGCTCGAATATACAAGAAAATCTTAGTAAATGAGACTCCAATAAGCACTTATTATCAATTCTACAAAATCTGAAAGACTTCAGAATCGACAATATCAGAACTTTCTTAGACGTATCCAATGGATTCCTCAATCGCGCGAAGCAATACGATGCAAAAATGCTTGAGTAAGTCATTTTTGGAATTCTGAGGTTTCCTCTCTCACATTCGTAAAACGTTTTTCTATCTCATCAACTTGTCACTATTTTGATATATCTTTCAAAATATCATTTGCTAGCCACCGGTCTTTTTAAAAAGTGAAAACATACGGAATCTGAATTGATTGAAATTTGAAATATTGCCAAAAAACAACAATTCATTTTTTGAAATGTTCATAAATTTTGAGGAACAGCATATTGACTTCGAGAATCTCAAAAGTTTTTTGCGGACAGAAAAATATGCCCTAATTTCCAGCTTGTTTTCTCTTCTTTTGTCGTAGATGAGAGATAAAAAAATAAAATAGAATAAGAAATTCTTGGAAAACTCCTCATCGTACTTGAAAAAACCTTTCCACTTTCTTTAAGCGAATAAGAATCCCTTATCGTGGTAAAAAAATTTGAGTTGAGATTTATAACGTTGAATAGTTCCATTTGGAGTACCAATTATTTCGATCAAACCTTGCTAGCTGATTATTTTTCTTGTGGTGAGAGATGTCTTGTAATTTTTAGTGCACTCAATTTCATTGAAAATACCACAAATCTACACATGCAAAGAACGATCGTGATAGTCGGAGTAAGGTGAGTGCTTTATCCATTTTTCTCCGAGAACTCTTATTTAGGTGAAGATTCCTGTATGAGTTTCACCACTCTACATCGAGTCTCTTATTTGTGACCGCATACCATACCGAGTTTGAAAATATTCACATTTTTGTGAACTATAATAATTCATTTGAAGACTGTCGAACATTAACAACACGACATTTTTGAAAACGAAGATTGGTGGTCAATATGTGACCACGCGCAAATTACGTCGCGGTTCGGTCTGATCCCAATTGGGACAGGCTGTACTTTATTGAGAATAGGTTTCATTTAATTCAAACAAACATAAAAATTTCTTGTGTAAAAGCCCAATGTCGCGGATTCGCGACTTCCTTCAAAGGAGGCCGCCCCCGCGCTGCGAAGGGGTCCTGAAACGCCGTCCTCGCGCTGTCCCGCCTCTCACCTCTCTCACCTGCGCAGCTTTCGTTTAAGTCACGTAGTCAGTCTACGCTGCTGTCGCCATCGTGAGCGGTCGGGTTCCATCTTCGTCTCAATGCCATCGATCGATACAGCGCCAATCCCATCTCACGCGTCACATCCATCTACGCCACGGAGGACTGGCACCCCGCGCTAACGAGGTAACCCCGAGCGCGATCGCACCTGGCACATGCCGGCGACACCGCCTCGGGGGGTTTTCAATACTGCTGGCCCCTAGGGTTGTAAGATCTTGGCTGGTTGTGCTCCACCCCATTGTGTTTGAGTCTAGGGATTAGTTGTGGATAAACGGTGGGCATTTTACTCGTGTGAATTGTACTGAAGCGGTGAGCCACAGCTCGGCTGTGGCTCCGGGGATATTTGTGTCATCAATGTTGTGTCTTATAATCTAGCCTAGTGGAAACATCTGTAGGAAGGCTGACACGACCCCGGGTAGTGCCGTGATTGTAAGTACACGCCCCAACCGTCGATGGTTGGGAGTGGTCGAGTCGCAGGTGCCGAGTAACTGCTAAGCAGGCTGGTGGCAAGGGCCTCTACGTGTGTATAGAGTTCCCATGTGGCAGGCACTAGTAGCGTTCACACAGGTATGCCACCACAATAGTCGTTTCACCCTTTCACGGAAGGGACCCCTGGCTCCCCTCGCCGATGCAGGAGAGCCTAGATACCACTGACGTTGGGAGCTGAGGGCCCAATCCGCGACACCCAACAAAGTTGCTGTTATACAACTCAATTTTGCCAAAATTTGCCTCAGACAAAATATCACTGACCAGAGATCTCCTATTCCGCCCGATAGTAGTGCCCGATCAATAATGCGATTAAATAGTCACCTTTTAAAGGCAGTGTCCGCTCAAGATTTGCCTCCCATTTTTTGCCATTTTGGGACCTTTACGTGGCCCTGATTACAGATATGAAGTTTAAGATGTGCAAAACCTCCAAAAAACCGATTTCTGGAATCTCTATCCTGAAGGCCTACGGCTTTCACTATCCAAGTGGGAGGGGCTTGATACTATATGGGCGTGACTTGATAGCACTTTCGCGGTTTCAGAGCTATTACCCTAATTTTACGCGTACAAGGCGCGGGGTGGTCCTAGCTTTCATCGAGCTGCTCAGCCGCCCCAACGTGTCTTAAGAAGCGATCCTTATGCCGCACGATTCGTCAGGCAAAACGCAGCACGGTATGGGGTTCCTTTGGTTGCGAAGTCCTTTGCCGTGTTCGGGCTGGTCGATGAAAGCTAAGACCACCCCGCGCCCTGTACGCGTGAAATTAGGGTATCTCCATTCAGAGACAACATTGAAGAACCGAGTCAACGCAGACGTCCCTCTCCTATACATTCAGGATCGGCACCAACCGCAGGGGGGTTAGATTTGGCCTGAAAACTGCCTTTAATCATCACATTGATGTATCCTATTGAATGGGTTCCTGGAAATACCAAAATGACTGGCAATTACTTGATATCTCAACGTTAGCTTCAACCAATGGGCGAACCTTAAAGGCAGTGTCTAGGTAAATCTGACAAGGAAAGGAAGGTTGGTCGAAGTGGCCCTTTGAAATGTGATGTATACTGCTTTGTAGAGCTTGGAACACTGATTTCAAATCTACCTTTGCTATCTGCTGCGGGCTTCTGGGCGACGAGTTATTAAGGTTTTTGTGAGTAAAAATCTGAATGCAAGAGTAGGCTAAAATCAGTCGTAACATTTTTAATAGGGCTCAATTGGTATGCGGGTCAATCGGTGCAACAAATATTCTTGATTCAAGTATACCAATTCGCTGCTGCTCAGACACTGGGACCGGGCGAGCCGCGGCTTCAAAAGGTCTTCCCGGCCCGTCCGCGGCCTTAATTTGTGGGCGTGGCCGGGGTGCGGCCGAGCCGCGGACCTTAATTCATGCCAATATCATTCCACCGGCCGAGCCGCGGACTGAATATGGCTTACCGGCTCAGCCGCGGCCTTGATGATGGGGGTGGAGCATTGCAGCGGCTGAGCCGGGAAACAAAATCTCTAAAATGAAACTCCGACCGAGCCGCGGCCGAAGCTTCATTATAGAGATTTCGGTCGGATAAGGTCCGCGGCTCGGCCGCTCCCAGTGTCTGAGTGCCTCATTTAAACATTGGGAAAAGGTTACGACTGATTTTACCCTGTTTTTGCATTCAGATTTTTACTCACAAAAACCTTCATAACTCGTCGCCCAGAACCCCGCAGCAGATAGCAAAGGTAGATTTGGAATCAGTGTTCCAAGCTCTACAATGCAGTATACACCTCATTTCAAAAGGCCATCTCGACCAACCTTCCTTCCCTTGTGAGCATCTGGATTTGCCTGGAGACTGATGAGGAAGTTCTAGCTGAGGCATTGCACAAATCACAACGCAAGTGATTCCGGCTAAGAAATCCATTCCTAAACACTCCGCGGCTGCGCCGTGATTTAACACTTAGGATGGGTCCCAGCGCGAACGTAGTGTTAAATCGAGCGAGATCGTTTTTGGGTTACGGTCACTGCGCACGGGGTTTATGGGAACGGATTCTTCAGCCGCGAATGAAGAATGTGCCCTTTCCCTTGGGCAGTGCCTTAATTAGGACTCCCTCATTAATTTCCAGGCGAAAACCCATGCGCCCAGATTTGCGTGGACACTGCTTTTAGTCAAATCAACGCTAAGATTCGGTACACATTTTACTTCTGAATACGCTTTTCTACTGGGTTCAAAGCAGTCATTGAAAACCTCCAATGTAAGCGCGAACTTGCCTAATTCATGGAAGACGTACAATTTAGTGATTTATTCGTCAAGGACGCATTGGAATCTGCTAGAAACATGGCAACGCAAGGATTTGATATTATCACCGTTAACATGGGTATAACAGAGCACTTCAAAATTCATAGTAATTAACTGGGTTTTTTTAGGTACCGGAGATTTGTCAAAACTTGCAACGAACTCGGATTATGCCTATAGTGTGAATACTAACAGTGATGAAGTAGAAATCGCCACCCGTATTGGGAACAGCTTGTGTAAGCTTTATTCTTTGCATAGATACACACTTTATTGAGTCTAGCCCAGAGGAAGCACATGCACTACTGTATGCATGTGTAGGCGATTCACCGTTGCTGCATCCGGGGAGATAGTTCGTGCATGGGAGAGACAGCAGACGGCAAGAGGGACGAAGGAGCGCTCAATCAGCGAGATGAGAGAGCGTCCGTAGTAACGGCCTTTCTTTGCGTGCGATGAATCGCCTTTCATATGAAATCGAGACAGTTTCTAGCCTACATTGCAAGCCGAACATGAATTACACCCCTTGTATGTAGTTTCTATGATACTACGTACAAGGGGTGTATACGAATTTTCTTGGGAACTTACTCGCTTTTAAGCGGTCCCTGAGAAAATTCGAATACAACATTGCTTTATTCGCCGAACATCATCTCTGGTAAACTTCTACGCAGTCCCTTTGCTCGTGCATATATTCGTGATGATAGCTGCATGAAGAGCAGTTGTAAAGTTGGCTCCAATTGAGCGGATGTCCGCGTGAGGTCAGCGCACCGAACACGGCTGCAGGTGTACCCTTTAGTTCAACTGGACTGGAGGGTGGAGGCGGGGCTTCGTGATCTAATCAAGGCTAGAGAACGATCAGAGAGCACGCTCGCGTCGCGAAACGCGAGCGATCGCCTTCCAGCCGCCAATCTTGTTGAACCAAAGGGTATGTCGGCCTTCACAGTATGCACCCCACGCGCTCCAGCGACTATGTCTCAAGCTCCGCAACCGCTCCGCGATGATTAACTATCCGTCTTCGTCCAAGATCAGCCTTTATATCGGCCACATGAGTGACTTTGCGAGATCACCGAAAAAAATTCAAATAGCGTGTTCTTTTGCTCGCTTCAAATTCAAACTAACGATATCCATTTTAGTAGCAAGGTCTCCGATATGCTTCCACGCACAGAAGCTAACTACCACAACTGCTCAACCTAAATCAACCAGGTAAAGTTTCATCTAAAGAAATCAAAAGAAGCCGCGTTCTGTTTCGCATGTAAAAGCTCAACAGTTATTTTTTGATACTTAATGTTTAAAAAAAAGGAATTATCGGTAGGAGAGGGTTAATGAGACTATTTTTCAAAAAACTCATACAAAGTTCCGTCAACGAATTATACTTAAACATCAGCTTGGATCTCCATGCATCTCCCTTTCCACCCTTCCCGGCCCCTCAATTAAATTCCGTTTACGAAGTCGAGAACATAGAGTTGCCTGTATCCGCTTTCAAGATTTCGCTTTCGTAATCTCCTTTTTTTTCAAAATTCAAAAACCTCTAATCTGAATATGCGCCTTATCACATTTTTCATGAAGGCACAAATGAAATAGAATTTGATAGCTCAACCATGACTACAAACATTTTACTTTTCCTCTTTTTTCCTTTCGTTAACCCACATAAAATTGTCTGTTATCATGTTTCCGATGTTAAGGGGGTTCAGTTCGAAGTTTTTTAAACGTATGAATCATGATAACTTTTAGCATTTACAGTCCGCTTCCTACAACAAGTTCTTGCAATGCTGTAATAAACCAGGACATCGCATTTGTGGTGGAAATATCAACTTCAACTGGCAATTTGAAAGCTTCTCAGGTGGGGTACTCATTATTTTCCAGGTAAAGATTAGGTTCAAGCAACGGAACATTTCGAAGCCTAAAACATTATAAGAGCTACTTCTTCTCACTCCCCCCCCCCCCCCACTTCCAACTCATTCCAATTTCACAAAAAATAATGTCTAGGCTTTCACACGAGAAAGTGTTGAATCAAGTGCCCCTATATGATACGTACCTTTAAAAATACGTTGGAGCTCCGATTTCTAATCTGCCTTCCATATCTGCAGAACGCTTCTGAGAAGAAAGTTATGGGCATTCCTATCATCAAAATTTGCATGGTTGTGAATGACTGCTAATAACAAATTCGTTCAAATTGCTTTTTGCGTTACAGGATAAACTCAAAAGGGTCAACATCACATTAAAGGCAGCGTCCAGGCAAGTCTGAACACATGGGATCTCACGTGGATAGTAATTTTGGGCCCTGACTAAGCTATTGCCCAACCGACAGCTCAGGTAGTGCTCTAACGGCTGAGATATTCCTCTCGAAACTGGACCCCGCGATCGTATTTCGCATGGATTCATGGCGCAAAGCGTGGATCCTGGCGCGAAACTGCCATGAATCCATGCGAATACGATCGCGGGGTCCAGTTTCGAGGGGAGTATCTCAGTCATTAGAGCACTACCTGCGCTGCTGCTTGGGCAGTGCCTTAGTTAGGGCCCCAAAAGTACTTTCCACGTAAAATCCTCATAGTTCCAGATCTGCCTGGACGCTGCCTTTAAGCATGGATAAGCGTTTTGAGTAGTTTGAGTTTATGAGTCCAAAATGCTTAGATGTTGATAATTCTGAGTACCAACCTTGCAAGTTTCCCCCAAGTAAAAACCTATAACTTCCTTTCCAGAAGCGTTCAGCAAATACGGAAAGCAGATTTGCAGTCAGTGCTTCATGCTCTTTGTAAAGATGTGCATCTTGTAGTAATAGGCCACTTCGACTTTGTGGCTCTCCCTTGTCAGATACCTGCGGAACTTCAGCATCTACTGTAACTTTAGTAACGTCCACTCATGCGAGTCCCACTCCTCTCTTTCATTTCCTCGTCCTCTCTTTCATTTCCTCGCTCCCCTCTCAGTTATAATATAATCACAATGTGTAAAACCAAAAAAAGGAATGGCGGTTTGTTCCCCCCCCCCTCCTCCCCCCCCCCACAAGCCCTTCTTGGTTTTGAAAAAGCAGCTTTTTCTTTTTCATTTTTCTAAGCACATCACTGGACCAAAATCAGAGAGAAACATGTAATCGAAGACTTTTTTGGTCATACTCTTTTGTCGAAATACATTATCAGCAAGTTGGATTGTTCAGGCTGCGACAAAATTCATTACAAGCTACCTACTGGACAATCATTTCGACGATGAGCATTCGAACTATTCCATCGTTCCATTTCCCGATCCTGATAAATACGAGAAATATTTTATACCCATGGATTTTCTGAAACTCCACAAGGATGATATCAAAACAACTTTCTCATCATTGTTCACTGTTTTCCCCAATTTTAATGGAGACACTTCCGATATAGAGAGGTAACAAATACACTTCGACTTGTACCTGTCTATTGAATTTATTGCAGCGGGCTAAGCTATGCTCAGAAGCACGAATTTCCATTGGTGGCGTCAGATTCCTTACCTCACACGGTGTTGTTGTTTGCGAACAGGTACAATATATGAAATTTCTCAGCTATGAAAGGTAGCGCTTGCATGACATTGTTATTATGACGTTCCAGAAGCAGCCAACTTTGACTAATTTAAAAAAAAATCCTGAGATACCCATAATGTTGATTTGATGCAGACGAAGAGAGCAGACATCCTGCAATACATTGTTTTTTGAGCTTTTCAATTCCTACTTGAAGTTTCTTGACTAAATTTCTAAAACGTTCTTCTGCAAAAATTCGAACTACGTGTTAGCAATAAATGCTACAAATCTTCAGATTTGAAGTCTTTCGAAACTTCATAAACAAAGTACACTGATTTCACGCGCACAAGGAGCGGGAGATTTTTTTTCTAAATTCGACAGATCTAAACATGACAAAAAACTGCGACCAAAGGACCCTGTATATGTGCTGCTTAAGAGAACGAATTAAACAAAAAGATCGTTTTCCGAACTACAGTAAGCGGCTCTTCGAAATTTCGCAAAAGAGCCTTGTACGCGTAACCAGGGTAAAGCGGGGGGTGCGGCACGCCGCAGAGGGGGGGTCGTATTGAGGAGTCAAAAGGGGAGGGGGTCGTAGTTAGGTGATCTGATTATAGCGATAACATGATATTCGTATCATATCCATAATTAGCACGTCAATTAACCCCTGTAGACAAAGTGTGAGCGAATTCTGAAGATTCAAGATACTAGGCTACCTAAGTGAAATGGTCAAATTCCAACATGGTTAACTTTGTTTTAAAGGTGAATTAGCTATCCGTTTTTGCACTCAAGACAAAGCACTACTCCTTCTTTGTCCAGCTCAGGAATCCCGCTTCAGAAGACCTCCAAACTGTGGAATTAGAAGCCAACCAAAATCTCGTTTTTCCCATTTTTCGCTTTTGATGGCTGTGCTTTCACCAAATATTACTCAGAGCTAAGAAGACGAATCAGGCTCAAAACAACCCTATGGAATCTACGAGGTTTAGGCTATCGATTAATATAAATATTGTCCGCTAAAAATGTTTTTTTGATATAGTTAATGGCCTGCGGCACCCCCCCCCCCCCCCTCAAAACCTGCGGCTGCCGCAGGGGTGCCGCAGGGGTGCCGCAGGCCATTAACTATATCAAAAAAACATTTTTAGCGGACAATATTTATATGAATCGATAGCCTAAACCTCGTAGATTCCATAGGGATGTTTTGAGCCTGATTCGTCTTCTTAGCTCTGAGTAATATTTGGTGAAAGCACAGCCATCAAAAGCGAAAAATGGGAAAAATGAGATTTTGGTTGGCTTCTAATTCCACAGTTTGGAGGTCTTCTGAAGCGGGATTCCTGAGGTGGACAAAGAAGGAGTAGTGCTTTGTCTTGAGTGCAAAAACGGATAGCTAATTCACCTTAAAACAAAGTTAACCATGTTGGAATTTGACCATTTCACTTAGGTAGCCTAGTATCTTGAATCTTCAGAATTCGCTCACACTTTGTCTACAGGGGGTATTTGACATGCTAATTATGGATATGTTGTCCATTATGTTTGACAGAGCCTTCAGGTAATACTATCTTAAGTGTATAGTTTAGGAGGGGGGTCTTATTAAGACAGCAATCAGGGGGGGGGGTCGTATCCGACGGTCGAGTGCCGCACCCCCCGCTTTACCCTGCGCGTAACTGAGCGCGCGCTTACCGCTTGGAGATAATGAAAGTTCATGACTTGAAGTACAATTATACGCTTTAGAAATGTGATGCTTTTATCTCCAAGGCTCTAGATCGAGGAAGTAACAATTGACAGGAAAATGAGCTGCAAATGATACCTAATTTGTTTACAAGTTGATTATGATGTTCAAATTGACCGAACGTGGAATTTAATCACAGCAGAAGATTTTTAGCAACTTTAAAAAGACCACATAGAGAGGCACAAAAAGGTAGCCGCTGCCAAATTTTATAAATCATACTCCGATGGCCTGGATACATAATACATATCTTATTCAGAAGCCTAAAATAGTAGTTTGGAAGTCAGCAACACCTGATATGGCATAAACATTGGGAATCTATAACGATTATTTGAATTGAAAAATGAGCAACCACTTGTAAAGTAAATGCTGGGAAATAAAAGGAAAGCTTCGACGTCTACTTTTTGAGCGTAATGTTTTTTTTTATTTCAGTGGTGGTGAAGAAACTGCAAAGACTTTCAGAACGATCTAATATAAAAGTTCATGTAATGAAGGGCTCACAAATTTTTTGTGAAAGGTGGAGGCGTTGGGGGGCAAAAATGCTTCCGAGAATTTCGGTTAGACTTTGTGTGACTTTTCGACGTGTTTACCAGCGGCGGACCAGGAGGAAAGGAGGGGGGGTCGTGCGGGGGCCGAGAATGAGGGTTTAAGAAAATTGTTCCTACATGAGTTATGAGAAAATGCGTGAACGACTTGTTTTTACTTGTAAACAATGAAATATTAGGTTGCTGCATAAGTTCTGTCCGATTTAAATTTTTTGAGTTCAAAATGTCATAACTTCTTTCAAAGTCAACTTTTTCCTAAAATTTTAGTTATTGCATGTTGAGCAATTCCTTGGCTATCAGATACATACTGAAACCTGCGAAAATCCTTGTTAAAGGCAGCGTCCACCCAGAATTTGGCCCCCCATGTTTTCGTCATTCTGGGGCCTTTCCGTGGCTCTGATTACATTTCCGAACTTATTTCTCTAAAATTCGCAAAAAACCCGATTTTTGGGGACCCATTCTTGAGGGCGCGGACGAGTTTCGAATTGCTCGTCCACGTCGGCAGGCCAGCGGGAAGGAGCTGCAACTGCATTGGTTGCAGTTGCATTGCAGTGTGCAGTGTGCAGCTTCTGCTCACTACCTTGTCAATACGTGTCGGGAGTCACGTATTGACAAGGTAGTGAGCAGTCCCTGATGGGCGGAGTCTGATATCAGACTCCGCCCAGCCAGGGACTTTCAGGCCCCCTATCTCCATTCAGAGACAACGTTAGAAGACCGGACCAACGCAGATGCCCCTTTTCTGGGGCTTACATTCAGAATCGACACTAATCGGAGGGGGTTAGGTTTAGCCTGGACACTGCCTTTAAGCAAGAAGCAAGAACCCAAAAACTTCACAGCTTTTCTCTTCAAACCTGTCTTTTTTGACATGGTAATGCTCCCTTATGAGAATTGATAGGCATCTTTTCTAACAATGGATAGATAGAGAAATTTCCGTAGATTATTCTGAAGCACAAAAGAGCCCATAGGGTCTGCGTTGCCGAGAGATTTTTTTGACCGAGCAAAAAAGAAGCCACTTTTTGACCTCGCTTCAGCGCAAGTGTGCATACCTATTTACGAATTAGGAAAATTTTACAATTGACGTGAGCGCCGAAGAGGAATCGGTGGATGGGATCTGTTAGCTCTTGCTTTACTTTAGCATCTCCAACTTTGAACTCATCGATTACTTCTATTCGCAGAAAGTTACTGCTTGTAAAACATCTATGCAAATAATTGATGTTCGACAGCAAATTTTACTAGCGAGACGTTTTCTTCATGGAATTGAATCTGCATATACTAGCCTTCTAAACCCTTATTCCGCAAACAATGAAAGAACCTGACATGAAGGGCGCATTGTGGAGATTTCCTCGCGAGAACATTTTTCTATGGTGAGAACCTACCTCGGCCACTTGAAGATTTTAGGGCTGTAATCTCACTACACCAAGAAAATTATTGAAATTTGATATGCATTAGAAAGAGCAAGAAAAGCACTTTCTAGTGATATTAACAATACCGCATTAAAGATAAAATTCTCTTAGAACAGCTGCTTCAAACTCAAGGCAAAAAAGTTGGACAGAACTTATGCAGCAACCTAATAATTTCCAAACTTTCAAAATTAGTCAGCCTTGTTAAGAGAATTTTTGGGGACGCGTGGCTACTTTTTTGGCTACTTCTGCGACTCGTTTTTCTCCCCACTCCTTCCTCCCTCGGTACACCACCGGAAACCATTTGAATTGCTTTTCCATGTGAATACCTTTCTACTTAAATAGTGAGGACTCAATTACTTTTGAGGAAGCGATGCAGCAGCTCTGTATCAATTTAAGAACTAATTCGAATATCTATTGTTGTGTAAAAACCAAAAGTAAACCGCTTTTGTAAATAAATCAAACTGTTTTGCCTAGCAAACTTGGGGTACCATTCGATGAAGTAAAGGCTCTAATGATTACCAAAGATCCACCTAGGTCGTAATTCAGGTAAAGTTCGGAGCCAAAATCAAAAAGAACCTTGTTACCTGCAAACTGAATTTTTACAAAAAAAAAATTCTACGATACTCCAAATGGATCGTCATGCAAAAGACGCATAGTATTATTCATAAATGCATTTGGTAATTTTTTATGCTTCGAAATCGAGAAAAGAAAGTCAGAAATAGGAAACCGCCCCTTCCTCCGTTCCTCCCACATGCGCAAGTGTATACTGAAAGCCTTAGTAAGTATAATCTTAAAATGTCTTCGTCTGTGCTCTGGTAAACAAGAAATATCAAGTTTTTTACATGTCAACATTCAGATTTTTGCATTTTCGAACCACTTTTGTTCCATCAACTGAACTATGGAAAAAATCCAAGCAATGTATTTACGAGCACTAATATGTGTCTATGTATGATGAGCAAGTGGAGATCCGTAGAAATTTTCGGAAGGAGATTTGATTTTTGGGGTAGTTAAAAAATTTTAGTTTTTGGTTCCAAACTTTATCTGGATCACGATTTGGGTGGATATTTGAGGAGCTTCATGTGAAGTTTGTTTCACTCTAACGAATGGTGCCCCGAGTTTGCTAGGAAAACAAAAACAGTTGATTCGTAAAAAACGGTTCACTTTTTCGAAGTCTAGTACTTGACTCCGCTAGAAGTGGTTGAATATAAAAAAAAATTACTATCAAGCTTCCCTAAAAAATCTGTTTATTTAATTGCAGTTTATTTATGTTAAATCACAGAATTTTGTTTAGCAAAACACCAATGTCAAAAATTTCAAAAATATTTGGTGAATTGTTATCAGATTAAATAATATGATATCTGCAGTGCGGAAGGGGTTTCTGCTGCTGTGAACGCTACCGCCGATCTCAGGAACACTGGAAAGAACATTCTGACCGTGGCAGTGGGTGACGAGAACTTTGACCTGAAACCTCTGGCAAGCAAACCGGATTACGACTCGAACTTACCAGTCTCAAGTGAGGAAACTTACCCCTTGCTGGCAAAGAAAATCATTTCACAACTATGTAAGTTTCAAAAAGTTTTTGTCTGATCTCATCACTCACACTTCCTTTTTCAGTACAAATTGGACAAGTATGTCGATAGCACAACGTGATGAAGAGAATTTTGTGACATTTTTCTCAAAAATCACTTTCATGCAGAGAGGAAATTTCTCTGATAGTTGTTTCTTGGAAATCAACCAGCCTTGGCTGGCTAGCACTGGTTTTGATTGACCTTATTTCCGTACTGTCTTTTTTTTTTCATATTTCTATCGCACATAAAAACCTGATGCATTGTTACGAGCTCTGTAATTCTTCAGTCGGTCATCAGTTGTTGAATAAATGCCACCTACTTCAAACTTCAGATGCTGCCAAAAAAGAGCAAAAACATTTTTTAAAAGTTGAAAAGCTTTTATGTATCCTTATTTGGAACTTGAAGGTTTGCCTCGTTTATGCTCTACATACAATAGAGAACAAAAGTTAATTTCTTTACTTCCGTGTCACGATCAAATCATCTTCTACATCTACATATCTGAGATCAATGACACAAGTGATAGGCCTTGGTTAGCGGAACTTAACTTTTCCTTGGGGGCCCAAATAGCTGACAAATATGCTCCCGTTCTGAGAACGGGGACGCTTTTGTTCAATTGGGTTCCAAATCATTTTTCAGTGGAAAACGCACAACCCTTAAAGAGTTTCTCTCTAGCAAGAGATAAGTGTAGTTTCTTTGGAGGGGCATAATATAATTTTTTTGGTGATCAAACAATTCATCTTTTCTTACTCGAATAGCGCGTTTTTTCGACCCATGTTTTTTTTTCGCTTAACCTTTCGGTACCTGACTTTTCCCCTGTAAAAGAGAAACTGTTCACCTGTTGTTTATGAAGGAAGCGCTTGAATAACAACATAGTAAGTTCGGAACCTTTTCGACATGTGAATTTTTTAAATTTTTACCCAACCTTCTTCTAATTTTTTAATTTTTTTGCAACAAACGTGGAGTCGCAAATTCATAGCAACTACTCTCGCACAACATCGTACTTCTTTTAATGATAGTAAGAACGTATTTCATATTTAAGATAATAACCGACATTTTCTTAGCAGATGCATGCTACAACCAGTAACCGTTACCGATTTTTCCCATTTGGTTGCGCATAAAAATTCTTATCTTGCTAACACCACTAAGGATAAGATGAGGGTTGCAACTATTTTTGGAAAGCGGAAGTTTTCTGAAGCGATCTGTAGCGGTAAGAGTAAAAATCATGCTGATGCGCAAGCATTAGTGCCCTTTGAAGTTATGGTGGGCAATTGCCACCACCAGGTCCGAAAGGGTTAAAGGTGGTGTCCGGGCAAAAACTCGATTTCTAAAAAATCCAATTGCCTGAGGTTATCCGCAACGCTGAATACGAAAACCCACATTATAAGGCGCAAAAAGGCGAGGACATGCGTTTTCCAAAGCCTTACAATTTGAAATTCGACGGTCCCCGCCAGGCAGAGACGCAGAGTCGCTGCGGGACCCTACGGTTTTAACTGTTGCGGCATGCGTACTCTGCCGCATAGCAGGAACTCGGACAGCTCGGAGAACCAGGTCCCAAGCGTAAGTTTTCCCATTCTGGTCGTTCTTCTTGCTTTAGGTCAGCGTTATGATGTGCACTTGCGCGATTTTGCGTCTGAAGGGGGCCACACTCGCATGGCACTGAAATCCCAAAACCTCCATCTTGTGCGGACATGCCTTTAAGTCGCTTTCTACATCTACTTTCGCTACATGAATCACAACATTTTCATTTTCATTTTCATTTTTTAATACACTCATGGTGCACCTAATAAATAAAAATAAATAAATAAAACTCAGAAGAAACATGAGAACGAACATGAGAAAAAAAACATGAAACCAACCAGTCACTCGAGCTAGAGCTAGATCCATCTAAAAGCCAAATAGCCCTAGACCTTAAGACGTTCACATATACCTCGCAGAGACTGCGGAACTGTAGGAAATCAATCAACCATTCAGGATGCTTGGAAAGTTTAGGGCACAAATGTTTCGGACGGAAATTACCTGGATATTCAGTAGGTCTGCTTTCATGTAACTTGCGGACCCCAGCACAGAAGTTTCCAATGTCTGTATTCGCTTGAGACAACCACGATCTTCTTGGCTGAAGCTCTATGGTGGCATCCACGAGTTCCAGCTTCGAAATTCGTTCCAGCTGATTTCTCAGCTGCCATCTGTTCAACGAACCGTCTGGCCATGTCGTTGGCGGTCTTAGTCGGAGACGTTTGTTTTTAGTGCTCACCTGTCGTCTGTGCTCCACATGATGTGACTGGTGTTTCGCTTTCGCAACGTACTCCGTTGGGTCACGAAGCGGAAGATCCTTCTCATATCCGTACTGGTTGTTTGTGTCGTGTCATCTTCAGGAGACTGCGCTCAAACGCTCTGTGGGTAGTACGTAGAACCTTCGACGTGGTTACAGTGTCCGCTCAAGTCTCGAGTGCGTGACAGAGAGCGGGAAAGAGGTTGAGTCGAACAGGTGGGCACGAAGCTCCGGGTCCGTCAGTTGGTCGGTGGCTTCCTTCAGAGGCCCGAAGGCGGCCCAGGCTGCTCTTCTTCTCCTGTTAAGTTCTTCCCTCAAGTCGTTCTCGAAGTTCATCGAACGTTCAAGACAAACGTAAGAAGACATCTCCAAAATAGGGGTGCCTTCCAGTTTCAATTCCGCATCTTCGCAAAGGGTGTTCTTCATAAACTGAGTCTTTTTCCAATTCACTATCCGATCTTCTTTTCGCTTCAGCATCGTCTCCGCTTCAGTGACACTGCAAAGAAAACGTTGCAGTTCCCAAAACGAATGCTTGTCAGAAACCTCCCAACAACTCGTATGCCCCTCTCATCCTTCCAAGTACTTCATCACCCACTGCAGCGAGCACAGTTTTGGCGAGATTGTGTAGCCTTATCGGACCCTCTTCCCAACTGGGATGACCAGGGGGCGATAGAATAGCTGCGTCGTCGTTGTACAGTCCATGTAGCAGTCGGACAATATCCCTCACGTAAGCTGGACTTACCCCTTGATCGACTAGAGCTGGCAGGATGGCGCTGGTTTCGACGCTGCAAAGGCTTTCTCGCAGGAGACGAGGGTTAGAACAAGAGGCAGTCGGTACTCTCGGCAGACTTCTATGACCCTCGTAACCGTCTGAATGTGGTCCATGCAGCTGAATCCTTTGCGAAATCCAGCTTATTCTTGGGCCTAGGCTTCGCCCAGTCTCAGATCTGCAAGTGACGATAAATCTTTGTGAAAAGCTTGTCTGCATACGGGCGGTAGTTCCGAGGATCTTCCCGTTTACCCTTATTGAAGAAAGGACAATTTTGAAGTTTTTCAATGTTCGAGGGTCTTTCTTCTTTGAAGGTAAGATGTCATATGTGACGCGAGAGGATGATGAGCGGAATAGGTGGTGTAGAAGTTCCTCGCGATAGATTCCACCTCGAGAAGAAGTCAAAGCCTTGTCTTCGTTAGTGTAGCCAGCTGCAAGTGGTACTGGCAGTGGTCCCTTCGGCACTTCTTGAAACTTCGTTATCCGTTGATTGGTTCCAGTATGTTGGCTTGCCTGTTTCTGCAACAGTCGCTGCTGGCCATCAGTCGCTCGAGATGGGTTGCATTTAATCTTGCCCCAAGGATTTCTTCCCACCAGTAATTCCTTAGTGGTCTCCAGGCGTTACAAGTTCTTCTCGAAAGTCTCTAAGGCGCGCTTTCCACAGACAGGCAATCCTTTCAGAAGTCGACTGTAGTCGTACGTTGTATCCTTCTCGGTGAGCCAGTCACAACTTGACGCTCTTCTAACCTGTCCGTCATAAACGACTTCCTTTTTTCTCGCGGCACTGTGACAGACTTTCTTTTCCAGCCTTCGGCTGAGTCGTATATTGTGGTGTTCAGTGGTTTTTTGGGGACTCTTCTGTGATTCTGCCAACACTTAGGGCAATAAAAGGATTTATTGGAGCACAAATACAGCCGGTCGTTCCGGCACACGACAAAGTGAAGAGTGAGGGGACATCGGCCAAAGAAGGCTGGCCGATGAGCACAAAGAGTCAGCCATGTGGCAGGCTCTTTGTGCCAGAAATGAGTAACATAACCAAATGTAAACAAAATGGGGCAAAGAGTTAAGTCCAGGTCATGTCTATATTTCGACACTCCGATGCACCAAAATTTTCAGTGGGATTTTTCTACCCTTTTCGTGCCCCTGTCAACACTAGAGGGAGAAGATGGGTTTATTCAGCAACAAAATTAAGCCGGTATCTCCGGGTGCTAATTACTTCGGTTAGTCTACTCTGAAGCATATAAATCATTTGCTGCGCCTAGAATTTCATTGAAATTTGTGTCGATTTCGAGTTTCTCCAAGGCATCGGAGAAGTCTTCTTTCTCACCCGTTAGTTGTATTTTGTCGTACTCTGATTTGATTTGAGCGACAATGGCTTTCAGTTCATTTTTTGCAACAGTGATTTGCTGTACCGTTTGATTTATCAGATCCGCGGCTTCTTCGCTTTCATCGTAGTCTTTTTCATCGTCTGAGGAATAAACTGGTTTTATCGTATATTCCTTGTATGTGTTTATCAGCGTTTTTAGCGTCTTGGCGCTAATGGTGAGCGGATTCTTCAGCAACATCAAATCCATCTTGTTCTGACAAGATGTACAGGATTTGACCTGTAGAAAAAATATCGGCGGGTTTTTGTTTCCCGGCCGATGCACCAAAATTGTGGTGGTTCAGTGGTTTTTGGGGGACTCTTCTGTGATTCTGCCAACACTTGGGGCAATAAAAGGATTTATTGGAGCACAAATACAGCCGGTCGTTCCGGCACACGACAAAGTGAAGAGTGAGGGGACATCGGCCAAAGGAGGCTGGCCGATGAGCACAAAGAGTCAGCCATGTGGCAGGCTCTTTGTGCCAGAAATGAGTAACATAACCAAATGTAAACAAAATGGGACAAAGAGTTAAGTCCGGGTCGTGTCTATATCACGACATATATTATTTGCTCGAAAGAGGCGGTGATCGGAGCCAATGCAAAGAGATAGAACTACTGGGACATCGAACAAGCTCCACCTTCGGTTGGTGAAAATGTGGGCAATCTCCGTTCCGTTTGGCATTCCCATGTCCAAAGGCGATATTCTTTCTTCATGAAGATGGAATTTCCATAGAAAATACCGCGGCGGAAAGACCGAAAAAGGTGGTTGCCGTTTCCGTTTGGGTGCCCATATCCACTCCTTAAACCCATATTTCTTTTCTAGTGGCATCCCCATTTTCGCTTTGAAGTCGCCCACAAAACTTGTAAGAGGGTTTCTCGTTGCGAACAACCTCCTCCAAGTCTTCGTAGAAAGCATCTAGATCTGATTCGTCAGCTGCAATGTGGGGAGTAGCAGTTGTTGATACTGGTGGTCTCCTGACGTGAAGAGCGTACTCGTAGGATGGCTAATCGAGGTGATAAGACCTCAAGCAAATCGACAAGATGGACGATAAATGGATGGACAACAAAACCGACTTTGACGTTTCATGACGGAACTTTCTCACCGCGAATGATTAAGCTCTAATCACTCATCTGTCGCACGTCCTTCTTCCTGGACTTTTTTTCCTGCAAAGCGATGACGTGGTACTTGATGTGCTCTGCAGCGTTGAGAAGAGCGCGGAGATCGGCGTTTGTGAAGCTGTCCTGATGTCGTAGGTGCAGAGCATGAGGCAGTCTCCAGGGCGTGTGGTCCGGGCAGACGTGTAGTTCTCGTCCGATCGAAGGGCGCCTTGAGGACCTAACATCGTTTCTGCCACCATCCGGCGCCGTAGAAGGGATCCGCTGGGATTTGCAAAACTCCTTTCTCTTCTTCTAGCTGATGGAGCGAAGTTTCCCCCTACAAGAGCAAACTTAAGGTCAACTCCTGATTTCCACGGGGCGATCGCTGAGCTCGGGCTTGGAGCGGGGAGAACCGCCTAACGACAGGAAAACCAAACAACGGGGAATCTGGCCTGGCCGCTCTTAGCTGGATATCGGTCGAAAACGGGAATGTCGAACTCCTTCACGCTTGGAAGGCCCTACCAAAGTTTACGTCGGCTGTATAATGCAGTTCGACGCCCAAGGCCTCCCCCAAGCCACGTTGAGGCGGCGGACCGTCGTGGGAGTAAGGATATTCTTTTGCAAAAAGCAAACATTGCTTTTTTGCTATGGGCGATAGAAAGAAAGGTTGTCTTAAACAATGCATTTTGTTTCTGTCATCAATCCATTCTTGAATAGGTCGCTTTTCCCCCATAAACATCGAAGCAGGCTGGACACAAAAACGGTCAAACAGAAACCACTCCTTGATTCGCCAAATTATCAGCGTGTGATGGATTAGACCTAGAGATTCATCACCGAAATGTCAGGTTTCATGGCACAGCTAATAGACAGGAGGCAAAAAATGTTTCTTGCTGTCGCATTTTGACACTGTGCAATGTATTCCGCGCCCCAATACAAGCGTGCGAATAGATGCGGAAGCGAACGGTTGCGCGTCGCGGCTTTTACTCGAGGCTACCGATATTCCCCGTATCCTTGTGTAAGGCCTGCTTGGAATGCCTAAAACTTATGTTTTACATCACTTTTCGGTTTTTTTGATGGCAATGAGGAAGTTGGATATCTTCAAGCAGGCTTTTATGATTTTCAGCTCTGTGGACTTTCTTCATAGGATCTTTATTCACTAGTGGTCACGTGTCCATGAAATTATTCTTTTTAGCTCTTGTCGTCATGACTTCTAGTGCCCCCGTTGCTACTGCTACTGCTGCTCCTACTGCTGCTGCAGATAATGCACAGCAAAACAGCTTCAATCCCTCATGGTAGGTGGTGACGAAGTCAATTATCTGGATCTAGAGGAACTTCAGCTGTTTTTTCCGAAGTTCTTTTGTTTTTTCATGACTGCGATAGCAACTAAAAAACAATAAAGTTTTTTTTCTCGGGGCTTCGGACGTTTTAATATCTATGGTAGGTTTTAAACTATAAAGAAAGATGGATATTTAGGATGCGCTCTGCATTCAATGGTGCAGGTGGTGGAGCCTCGAATCGGACCCCGAAGACGGTGAGGGTTCTATTATGCAAGCAATACTTACGCCCATGTTATGATCCCGCTTTTTGATATTTTCAAGTTTCCTAATGTTATGGTTCGGATTCCTGCAATACCGATAGCAAGCAAACATTTAGGATTATCCACTCGCCGCTCCCATATTTGTCAAGAATCGTTACGGTCGCGAGGATATGTTGGCCCTAATGGGTGATGCTGCTGGGCATCCAGCTCCAGAGGGTCTTCAGAACTGTCCATTCTATGTCGAGGAAGCTTTACCTCCGATTGTGTGCTATCCGTTGTCTGATTTAGAGCAGGTGGGTATATTTAGGTTGCGGAAATCCTTAGCTAGTGTAGCTCACATAAAGTGTACGTTTCTAAATTCACCAATTCAAGCGTCAAGTCAATTCTTGGCCGTTTTAGCAATGATTAAATCGAATTTTCGGAGGAGCCCTTTTCCTTGTCGATAGGAAAATCGTCATTTAACTCTATCTACTTTTGAGAGTTACCTTCTTGAAAAATTGTCATCTGGTCACTTATGACTAGTGTAGTTTTTCCATAACGCCACGTGTACTTTTACACTGGAGTACACAGGACGGACTTTTGGTACGACTGAAACGTAATGGTATCTTCTAACCAGTGACAAACGAGAGTGTAACACGGAGATATAAACTCAATAAAATAAGTGTGTGTAGTTATCAGTCAAGTTTTGTTAGATTTGTGTGAAACCCTGTTCGGTAGTCTTACACAACCTCTCATTTTTTATGGAGTGTGCATCTTATCGATTTGGTTTTTGTGCAGAGTTGGGGCGGAAGATACGACAATTTCGATGTAATAGAATTGCAATTGCATTTTATCATAATCGCAAGACGGAATTGAACAGTAATTTCAACAACTTTGGACTCGAGTAAGCAATACTCTTGACTCTTAATTGTCGAGCAGTGAGATCATGATTTTCAAGTCATCTCTTTATGCCTTTTCAACTTCAGTGTAAGTGTGATGAAAGACAATCAGTATGTTTCTACTTGATTCTCTTTTGACTGACCGGCTGTTCATGTGCTTAGTTAGGTTTGCTCTGCAACAGCCTTCGGAGTCACTTCGTTGAAACTGCCTTTGATTGTGAGAAAAAGGTATATAATTGCCGTGACACTCGCAATGTCCCTCTGGGCATGCCTAATGCCGTAATGCATGCACAAAAAGCAAGATATAGGTCCACGAAATCTCAACTTAAACTGTTAGTTATCTAGTTTCTGTGTTCTATCTTCACTTGCGGAAACCGTAATATGATTATTTTCGAAGGCATGCAAGTTTAAAAAGATTTCTACCAAGCATGTTTTGCGGAAAATCTGCCTGTGTTGAACCTACATTTATCAACCAATCATAAAAAGAGCTCTCATGCAAGTCGAATGATTTATTGCATTTATTGAAAATCGATTATTGCATATTTATTGTATTGGCTAGAAAAAGAAAGCCTCCAGCAGATTCAGCGTGAGCAATGGGCATCAACGTTACGTTGTTCTACCAAATAGTTGGATTTTTGAAAATTTTCAAACGACCAAGTGTGAACTTTAATTTGTGTTCTATTACAAAGACAAATAGAAGTTCTTAATCATCATGTCTGTGCCCTTTTGAAAGACGTTCCTTATGAAATCTTAGTGATGTCATGAGTAATTATAGCGCCTTCAACACAACATCAACTCGTCGAAAGCTATGTCATCTCTTTCACATGCAGAACGTGCAAGTGTTGCTACCGGCGCTGCTTACGGAGGTGGTGGAAATGGTGAAGCCAACACTGCTTCTCACAAGTCATCTGGAACTTGGACTCCAGTCAAACCTTGGAGTAAGCTTGGCATCATTGCTTCCTTTTAGCTCCTTTTTTTTTCTCTTTTTATATGTCGACTCTATATGGCGGCATTGTGTAAGTCCAATCTATTTGGTTTCTCTCTAGTTTTTCCTCGTATTCTTTTCGAGAATTGAGCAATGTCTTTCCTAATCAAAACCACATTGTGTGTTGTTTCGATGCGGAATGAGGAAGTATGAACTGTATGGGTTAAGTAGCTGTCAGTGTTTGCCACTGTAGATCGTGCTCATCAAGCTGGTGGTCCCCCAGCAAGAGGAGGAAGTGCATCACGTTCTCATGTGCCGCCTGTGCGAACAATCCCTCGTGCAGATGGGGGCAGCAACCAAGAATCGCCTCAAATAACACCGTTCGGACAGAGATTCGGTGAGTGGAGTATTTTAAAGGCATGAAGGTTTTTCTGTACTAATTCATGTTATGTGAGGATTTGGGTCAATTCATTGATTCTTAAGCAAATCGAGGTCGTGGTGCACCTGCTACAGCACGAGGTGGTGGAGTATCTGGTGGAACATTCAATTCTCGTGCTCAAGGATTGTATGACCCACGTGATCCCAAAGGTACGCATTTTTTACTTTCGTATAGCTGGAATCGTATTGAATTTGCAACGCAAAACTACATGTGGTTTGGGAAGTTGCTGTAGTTTTGTACGAAATATCATTTGAAAAATATCCTTCTTAATGATCGTAGAGATATTTTGGGAAAACGATCTGAATGCTGATCTTGTTTCTTACAGGGGAAGGATACTTGGATGCCGTAGCCATTCATAATGATTTGTGTACCAAAAAACGCGCTTTTGAATGCTGGTTCGTAGACTGTCTTTCATATCTGCGAAACGATAATCTGAATGGAGTTATGATTTTTTTTCAATGAAAAATTGCGTTCCTGGGGAGGGTCAAAATCATCAATAAAAAAATTTTCTCTCCTTTCCAAATGCTGAGTATGATCCAGATAGTCTAAATAAATATTACTACGTCTAAAATTTTCTTCAGTAGCATCAAACGGTAGGCTAGATTAAATCTGGTGATTTTTACTATCCAAAAGTGGGCTAAATTTTCAAGGAAAAAAGTTCATAACTTTCTTCAAAAGACCGTTTCGCAGATTTCGAGCACACATTCAGAATCTGCATTCGAAGGCGCATTTTTTGGTATACAAATCATTAGGAATGGCCGCGGCATCCAACTATCCTTCCCTTGTTAGATCAATTCTGTAATTATTTACCCTCCACTCTGTTAAGGCCACATTGCCATGAGTACCTAAATCAATAGACTTCTTCCAAACTTTCCTGAGTTATTTCCATGTGGTTCCAAAATCTTGACATGCTTGATTTCACCTCTGCACTCAAACAATTAAGCAACAGAGCACTTATTTTTTATTCGTTTTTAGATCGTCCTCGTAATAGAGTGCGTTCCACGAGCGACGAAGGTGATGCTCCACCTGCTGGAGAAGGTGGATGGACTACTGCTGGAGGTGGCAAACACGCTTGGGGAAATCATAATAAGGATGGTGGACAACATAATGTATGGAATGGTACTCAAAGTTAGTCGTCATTAGTGATGTTGCTTCAGTTTCTTTTGTACCGAATCTGATACCAAAAACACTTTAGTTGATTTGGTTGATCTTAGTACCATGTATTTCTAGGCGCTAATAGTACATTAGCTGGTTCCGGAAACGATGAACGGGAAAGATCTGAGCGTAAGAGTGAAAGTGGACCTATGCCTGAATGGATGGACGACGGAGAAGATCAAGAGAAAACGTAAGTTGCTTCTGGTTGAAATAGTTCTTTTACAGTGAAAGAGAAAATAAGTGATATTTGCAGTGAATCCAGTGACGATACGACTAGTGCCACAGGCTCATTTGACGAACACGGACGTTTCCAAAAGAAGGTTGGTATTTTAGTTAAACTGTCAATAGCATCCGCATATGTTAGTTACTGATGGGCTCTGTCTTATGTTAGAATTGTATGCTTTCACGGTCAAGCTCAAAAATATTTAGAAGCAAATTTTTGAAGCATGTATACAAACGCCCCCATGCAAGTTCTTCAACAGGATTAATGCAGGTCATCTGCATGTGTGTTGGCACCTTTATTGCCCATTTTGTAAACTGCAATCAAAAACACGTAAAGTTTACCATGCCGTTTTCCGAAGAAAATAGTAGGATTAGCGATGCCATTAATAGCCAACTCTATAACTATGTACTATCTGTCGTTTTTAGCATATTCCATTCACTCCTCATATTGACCTGGTTTCATCAGTGAATATGTAAATAGTTGGTAGTCATGACAATCAGCTGAAACAATCAAGTACAGTTTGTCCAAACTCGAACAGGTCAAAATTGGGATGACATTTTCAGCGCTTCCGTCATATTTTGAAGGGACCGTCACATATGTCAAGATAATCGCATTATCTACAATCACATTTTCCCTGATCTTGAACAAAGCTGCCTGCTCTGGCGCTAGTTGAAGCTATCGTCCAGACAGCTGTCCTTAATTATGTATTTGGTGGACGACTTATTTCGGCTTGCGGGGTTTCGCAGGTCCTCGTGAAATAGCTTGTAAGCCGATGCAAGAGCCGAATATTGTAGGATCTGGTTTGAAGATGGATATTAACCTTGAGTGCACCATATTCGCTGCCGCTTGGATAATATCTTAGTTAGGCCCCCAAAATCAGTCTCCAAGTGCGATCTCCATGTGCCCACTTTTGCCTGGGCGCCGCCTTTAATGCGGCGCGGGCTCGCGGTCCTAGTAATGTCTTAGGCCGTACGATCGCATATATCTGACAGTATATATAGTAGCTTTGTGCTGCAGAGACTGGACGCTAGAACTGCCCGTGAACTAGCAGCTAAACCTGAAATGCCTGCATTTGCACGCGCAAACCTTGAATAGATTTGACATTAATCGCACATTGACGAATTTGACGGAAATGTTTTTAGTCGAAGTGACCTTTCCACAAGAAATTAATATCAATTTGTAGAGCATTGAACGTTGATTGTGCCAAGCGCGTTTGAATGTCGAGTTATGAGCGTTTTCGGGGCTCAACAATTTGAACGCTCAGCTGGAGCAAAATCATCCGGAGTTGTTCAGTTTTGATGCTGAGTATCAGACATTTCATGCGATGGATACCTTCTGTATAATGTACACTAGTAGTCACCACTGCTCCAGTTGAGCGCTGGACCGTAACTGACTTTAGGCAGGTTTTAGAACGCGCTTGAACCCGCCTGTATGCGCCGGTATCCGCTGCAACCCGCGGGAAACCTGAAAAGATGTATATGCATAAAAAAGCATTTGAATTTTTTGGAATTCATATCTACAATGCAACGCTCGCGGCATATCTCTTTTTCCTGAGTTCCTCATTCGGGCTTCCGGCGGGTACGAGCGGGTACACACAGGTTCAAGCGCGGTCTGAAGTTTGCTTTATCTAGATCTTAACATCATTCTCCGTTTTGAAATTACTTATGAGTCAACGTTTAAGGGCTCTTGGTAGGTCACCAGTACATATTATGTGAAATCAACGTTTAACTTCGAAGTGGTATGCAACTAATTTGAAAATGCATCGTCGACTAAAGTTCATCTGATTTTTATGGATTGCAACCATCATCTTCCTTTAGGAATTTCTAGTGCAACCAAAACAACGTTTCACTCTCCCACCTGACCCGTCAGATAGTAATAAGTTCCTATGTGATTGCGATTGATTTTTTATTTATTCCTATATGCGTTTGTAGGTTTACTCACATCTTATTTCTTTTTATCGCTGCCTTTCCAGCATTACAACAATTCCATCGATTCTAAAGCTGCGAAGAAATCAGATTCGCTGAATGACCAGTATGTTGTCTTCTATTGATCTGTAATATGGAACATTTTTTATATAACTCTAGGCAACATCCCAACAGAAGCCCGACTGCCGCTGTTCCATCAGGTCCGCCATTACCCGAAAAGACTGCGCCACCTGTTCAGGTAAGTGCTTGCAATGTACTGTTTTTCCTACATGTTCATGAAAACGATTGTTCAGAGTTATTCCACATTATATCTTATTGTATTCATATCCTCAAACCAGATTTTTTGAGCGTTCTTACCGACTATCTTCCTTTCTCATAACATTGTAGTAGCGCCATAAAAGTTCACGAACCTCTTTTTTCTTCTTGTACATTGATGTGCGACCATTCTTATCTTGAAGCAGTTGTTGCATTTTACAGAGGGCAACTGAGAGCAATTCTTCTGCGCAAGACCTATCAAAGTCTGATTCGGAAGCTACAAGAAATTATGCGAATGTACGACAACAGCCCGATTCTACGGGGTACATGTCTTCATCGGCTGGGGCTCAGATGCTGTCAAATCCCAGCGTTGGAGTTTCTAGCATGTCCACCCCGGTCTTGCCGCAACGAACACCACCTCAGTTCTATTATCTTGATCCTACAAAACAGGAACGTGGACCGTTCGAGAAGGTCGGTATAATTCTTCTCTGTAACTCGTCGTACTAGACTGCTGTTCAGATTCAAATGGATAGTTGGTATAAGCGTGGTTATTTCACCGAAGGTCTCGAGGTTCGTCGTAGTACCGACACCAAATACAGAACATTAGGTATGTATTTTTTGCACGTTTATGCACCACTTCGTGTCTCCATGCAGGCGCTTATGTACGTCATGTAGGTGAACTGATGCAGCTGAATGGAAGAATAACACCATTTGATTATAAGGATGAAGTCGTCCCAGCGCCTCCAGTCACAGCGGTGTTTTCTAACCCGTCGCAATCTTACCCTGCCCTCTTTGCGTATGCCTGATCTTTTATGTTTTAGATCTGTCTTATTGAATTGCATTCCAGAGGCGGAAGTATGTGGGGAGAACTAGGAGCACCTGCAAGCGTGATGTATGGTCAACCTGGATACGATCCGATTGCTGCTGAAAGAAAAGTAAGATTGCAAGATTAATGTTATGCATTAAGGATGTTGTCATTATCTACTTCAGCGCATAGAGGAGGAACAACGACGCATTTTGGAGGAACAAGCAAAAATGAGGGAGTATCAGGAACGGTTAATGAGAGAGATGCAGAAGCAGCGTGAAGAGCATGAAAAACAGCTTATGGAGCAGAAAATGGCTCTATTGAAACATCAGGTAATATCTTCTGGACCATGTAATAAACTTCATGTGACGTAGCGATGCTCTTTTTCCTTTTTGTAAAAGAGTTTGCCGAAGATTACGCTGTAATGAGGAATTTAGGAAGAAATTGAGCGGCGTGAACGTGAACTGAAGGAGTCTGCTGAAGAAACAAAAGCTCGCTTGGAAATGGAACGCCTTGCCTTAGCTGAAAAAGCTCGTCAAATCGAGGAAGAGCGAGCAGCAAAAATCAAAGTATGCCTTGTAATTTTTTTCCTTCGCTGTTACTTTGATCAGTGTTGCATTGTTCTACGTTTAGCTCTTCTTTCTGGGTCTGTTTAGCTCAGGAAATTCATAGATCATAGAAATCATAGTTTGATGGGAATGCAAGAAGCATTTCTTTGAGTTGCGGACACTGCATTATATTTTTTGAATGAGCTGTTTGTTGAAAGAGCCTAACCTTCGTTCAGTTGGCGGAAGTTGCAAACGTCTTTTGCAGCAAGAACTGGAAAATGCGCGAAAGGCTGAAGAAAAGAGAATTGAAGAGGAAAGGAGAAAACGACAGGAGGAAGAGCTGGAAAAACAACGAAGAGAAGAAGAAGAGGAACGGAAACGACAGGAAGAAGCAGAGAGGGAAAGGTAGAGATTTTTGGCGATATCCCATTTCATCAGTAATATGAGAGCAAACTATAGTTAGCTGTAGACTGGCAGGACGAAAGGTATCATGCAGTAAGTGCGCAGAAATAGTCAATAGCCTTGTCAATTCAATAGCCTTGTCATCCGACTTTCTCATGCAGTCCCAACCAAATTTCTCATTTTTTATATCCTGCAGTTGATGATGTGATCTGATTGAAGAATGATATGTCTAGAAGAGCTCGAGAAGCTGCTGAGGAAGAGGCACGACGTGCAAAGGCTGCTGCTGAGGCGGCCGCTGAAAAACTTCGCCAGCATGCGGAACAACAGAAGAAGCAGGTGATTTTAAGGCTATCTGAATATCTTGTGTATGCAACTGTGTCCAGTTCATGTTGTTATTCAAATATCTTTCAAGCGTGCGGCTGAAGAACAGCGGAAGAAAGCGGCGAATGTGGCACCCCCAGAAAAGGAGAAGCGACCAGAAAATACGAAAGCGTTCGAGATTGAAGAAACCTGGCAGGTATTCATTGGAATTGATTGATGTTTGCAGAAATTACACTTCTTTTTTCTTCTTTTTTAACGGTGGTGAAAGAATTTTCTCATTATACATCCCTTCCACAGTTTTCCGGTAAAGGCAGTGCTTGGCAGATGGGCGTTTTGAAATATTTATGTTCTGGAATTCCCTGGATTAGCTAATTTCAAATGTTCACTTCTGGGTTCTGCAGCTTTTGAATATCAATAAGTCGCTTCTGCGGACGTGGAATGTGCTGTTTGGGCAGCAAGTGAAAGTCCGCCCTCTAGAGAGCGATTAGCTGGTGGAGTCCGGATGGATGGAGGCACCCTACCCATAGCGGCAGTTGGTGTTGGCTTCAGCAGGAAGCCAGTTACAAATATCTTCAAAAGCTGCAAAGCACTGTCTTAGACTCAGCTCATCTAGTGGAGTCAAAAACGGTGATTATCCCAAAGTTGTGAATCCGCCGAGTCACTACCTTAAATGTTATTTACCACTTTTAGCCTCATGCCCATATTCTACTTATAGGCAGCTCCGAAACCCACGCATGAGAAAAAGTCGCCACCTACTAAAGGTGATTAATTGAGTTTTACCTACTTCCATGTTCATGACCGTTATAGATAAGCATTCAGCCGCTCCGTGGGTAGCAGCCGCTGCAGTCCCGCCTAAAGAAAAGTCGCTGAAGGAGATACAGGAGGAAGAAGAACGGCAACTCCGTGCTGAGCAAGCAGAGCAGGCTCGGCTGCGGAAAGAAGTATGTCTTTTTGTAAGTTATCTTGCAGTCATCTGTTAATCGGTGTTACTGTTGCAGCACCAAGAAGCTGTCAATCTCCAGTCCTCCGGGACATGGTCGAGTGCATCACAACGTCTCCAATGGAATCAGCCTCCTCAACAAACTGCCGCAAAAGCTCCAGCCAAACCAGCTTGGGGTGGTGCGGGTGTAGAACCACCAAAGGTTTGCAGCTTCTGATGCTGTATGCGGGAATAATAGTACAATCAATTTCATGTTCTCTTTCAGGCTAACTCTTCACCTTTCTGGGATGGACCATCACTGCAGGCTGCTAATAAGACTCAGAATGCACAGCCTAAGAAGTCTGCCGAGAAAACAGTTACAAAAACAAACAACGCAAAATCGGCCAACAATATGCTGGTGAATGAAAAGGCAAGCCATTTTTTCAGAGCTGTTCCCTTTTTTACGGGCTTCTTCTTTGGTGATATATACAGGGCGTCCCAAAAAAATTATCGAACGTTTGATCTTTAATAACTTCCCTATATCAAAGCTTTCGCGGATCCTTGGGTATTACATGGTAGAGCTAGGTTCAACTTAGATTTACAGTATAAAGCGAATCACCGATTTCTTTAGTTACTGTAGAATTACGGTGGGAATTTTCGACTAATTTTGAGCTGTTGACAGGCAAGATCTGCTTTCAAAAACTTTCAAAAAAAAATCGAAGCACGTTAAACTGAGGTTTTTGGGGATGCTGAATCTAATTACAAAGTTTTCCGCTACCAGGCTCCCCATCTTCCTTTTGTAGGCGCACTGTAACGCTAAATTTTTGGCTTTTTTCCAGAATTTATCAAATCAACGTTGCAGTTACAAACACGTCGTCAAAGGCTAAAAAATAGCGTTACAGTGCGCCTACCATAGGAAGATGAGGAGTACGATAGCAGAAAAATTTGTAATTAATTCAGCATCCCCGAAAACTTCAGTTTAGCGTCTTTCGCTTTTTTTGGAATTTTTTGATGGCAGATCTTGCCTGTCAGAAGCTCAAAATTAGTCGAAAATTCCTAATCCTAAGTAGCTACAAGAAATCGGTGATTTGTTCTACACGTAAATCTAAGTTGAACCTAGCTCTACCATATAATACTCAAAGAGATCCGCGGAAGCTTTCGATATAGGGAAGTTATTAAAGATCAAACGTTCGGTACATTTTTTTGGGACACCCTGTATTTCCGAATTATGAATTTCTGAAAATTTCTTATTTTCTGGATGTCTTAAAGAAACCGTTCATTAGCGGAAGAAACGTTTCGACTAGTTTTCAGACTTGTGTTCTGTTGTGATCCTATAATCATTGCGATGATTGCACACCAGTTTTAGGGATCGTTCAGACCTCGCCGGAATCCGTCTAAACTCGCCCGAATACGTTCAAATCCGCCCAAATACCTCCGACTCCGCCCGAACCCGCCTGAGCGCCGGAACTGCCAAAGCGCAGCGGATATGCGGCAAATTGGCATATTGGAGTACGCGTGGAATACTGCGCGCATGCATATATCTCAGTCACACGTAGCTCGACGTTACATACCGATCTTCTTTTGCCACTACTCCGATAAGAAGGATCAATCGCATGCGTGCTCTAATATGCCAGTTTGCATGCAGTCTGCTGCGCTTTGGTAGTTCAGGCGGGTTCGGACGTATCTGGGCGGATTTGGACGTATTCGGACGGGCTTGGGCGGGTTCCGGCGCGGTCTGAACGATCCCTCAGGGCCACATGCACTAATATCCCCCGGAGGGAGGGGGAGGGGGGAGGGGGTCTCAGCTTAAAAGAAAGCTCCATGTCCTATGATTATGATTTATGATTTCGATATGATTATGACCTCGATTTTGATATGATTATAATTTCCTGATGATCCCCCGCGATCGAATGTTTCCTCTTCAAAGTCATTTTTCATCTTTCGAAGTGAAAGAAAACCTTCCAAAGTTGCACTGGTCATTCAACCTAACAGTGCTAAACATGCTGCTGATAAGAGCGAATGAGTTTCTGCAATATCGATTTTTCGAAAACCACAATATTCGACTTGTAGTTCGTCGCAAACTTCATAACTTCGAAACATCGCTTGTTCTTACCAGAAACATGATTAGCACTGCTGGGTTAGATAAACAGCACAACTTTTGGAATGTTTCTATTGATTTCGAAAAAAAAAGAAAGATAACTGCAAAGAAAAGTAGGTGGGCAGCTGCGGATCATCTACTCCGACTTTCGTTGCGTACCAGCGGCGTTCGACTGTCCTCTGAGCGCAGCACGCAAACGCCGCTGGTAGGGCAGTCGTACGCCGCTGGTACGCTGTGGAACTCCGCTGGCAGGAGAATGGTACGCCGCTGGTACGCCAAGAGGGTACGCCTTCGGACCGCATGTTCACCCGATTTTTGATTACGTACTAATTGCAGCATTAGTTGGTTTGAAAATTGCTATATCGTCATATTTTATGAGGCCGAAATCAGCGCAAAATTTCCTGCTATTTCGATTGATGGACTTCATTGAATCGAAATCCGGAGACTGTGGGCCACCCCTACAACACCCTGCTGAGGTGTTATCAGGTCACTTAATAAGAACAACAACTCAATCTTATTCCTTTGTCAAGCGCCGAGAAGTGTTAGCTAACCACTAAAATGCTGAGGCGGCCCAACCACTGCGTCGTATCCCATACGGGTACGGCTTACGCTTACAGCGTGGGGTAATGTGATGGGACGCCGCTCGCTTGCTTGGTTCGATGGAACGCCGCTCGCCAAAAGACGGTACGCCGCTGGTAGGGCGAATTAAGGAACGCCGTTGGTACGTTAATCGCACTCCGCTGGTACGCAAAGCCATTTAGGTACGCCGCTGGTACGCAACGAAAGTCTGAGTAATATATAAAGAATCCTTAGCTCAATTCAAAAATCTTCCATTAGCGGGAAACCGCGGTGCGGTCCGAAGCGCTTGGATGCAATCTAGCACCTCCAATTACTGGTTCATTAGTCAACAAAAGGCTGGGAAATGCGGCTTGTACAGCTTCTTGCTCTCGTTCAATATGTTCATAGTGAAGCATGATAGGAATACTTACGGATAGGTGGACAAGGTGAAATCCAGACATCTGAAGCTTCACGATTTGAAGCTTTTTTCTAAGCTGAGATCCCCTCTTGGTGGGAATGTTAGTGCATGCGGCCCTTAGTCTCAGTTGAAATCATAGATTCAGCATTTTTCTTTTTGTCTTGGAAATTGAGGGTCACTGTATTGAGAATGTACATTATTAGGCTGCGAAACGAGCTTTGGGTATGGCTGAAGACAACAGTGTGTTCTTAGAATGGGTAGTGCAGCGTTTGAAGCAACTCAATTCTTCAGTAGAAGCAGATGTTCTAGCCATGTTTATTGAGGGTGTTGAAAATCCTGATGAGGTTTGCTTTTTAATACTTTTCCTTTTATTGTCGTAGCTGTGAATCTCAGGCCTTGTGCTTTTAGGTAGAAGATTATGTAATTGGCTATCTCGGTGATTCCAAAGTAGTCAAGGAGTTCGTTAGAGAGTTTCTGCTCAAAAGGAGTGATTTTCGTAATCGAAAGCAACACGCGGTAAAAGATGTGAGTGTGCAGCTCAACGACTTCCCTAACCGTATTCAATCTATCATTGCTTAGGATCTCTCAAGTGCCCGCGGGGCACCAGTTTCGGGTAACGGTTCAGGAGGTTTTTCAGCAGTCCAGGGCAGGAAAAAGAAGAACAAGGTAAGCTGCGACTGCGTCGCTCGGGTTACAAAATGTGCCGCTGTTACAGGGTGCTCGTCTTGTGGTTGATGGTTCATGTTTGGGATTTCGCGCTACATCTGATCCGAACAGAGTGAATCAAGGAGAAATCGAGACTGTAGCACTGACACCAGGCCAAAAGAAGTAAGGACATGTGTCAAGCACATACCACTGTTCCGCATGAAATCACAGTTTATCAATTTATTCTCTTAAGTGTTAATTATTGACCCCTTAGTACTCGCTGTTTTTCTCTTTCCTTCCAAGATATTGCATTGTTAGTTTACATGGTGAAAGGCGATGGTTGTTGGATTTTGTACCTTTGCGCTGGATCTACTTTACTAGATGTTATGAAATGGTTCTCTTTCTCTGAGGAGTGCTGCGATGCTAATATATTGTTTGCTTGTTTTCTGTTTCGCTTTTAACTTCTCTGGGTTCCCCACAGTTTTGGCGTGTATATCATAGAACCTTTTCTGAATGTTTAATTTTGAAGACGAGTTTGTGTTGTATTTTGCTCACAATCGTGATGATTGCTGTCCTTTTCTTGAAATAATAGTAGATATATTTTTATAAGATTGATCAACTTCTGTCTAGTAAGCCTTACACTCGGTGTTTCAAATTCTAAGCAGCACTACCACATGTTACGAGAGCTAGTCAATCCTCTTCAACTGAACATACTTCCTCTTCCCAACATCGGTTTGAGCACAGTGAGCACTGCTGATTTATCACGAATGTTAGCCATCGCTCAGTTGTTTCTGTGGTTATTGCCAGACTCACCATAAATCATACCGTTATCGCTGCAGAAGGTCGCAATTTGTGAGAGGGACTAAACTCGTTATTAAGAAATCGGCTACAGACTTTTCACAGTGGTCCCGCCAGGGCAAGAAATGCGGAGATTTGCAAGTTCCGCATTGTTGAATACTGTTTCATAGCATAAAAACGAGACCGTAAATATTTCAAATTTTTTCGTCCACACTCAAAGTAATACCATACCATAACAACTACAATTTTTTTTCACCACACTAGCACTGCTCACACTTGGACATAGGCTAGTACAGTCTGCCCCAGTCAGGATCAGGCCGAGCGGTCGGCTGGATTTGCTCGCTCGCGCGCTAGGGATTTGCGCTGCGTACGCGCGCTGTTGGAGGGAGTGAAGAGAATGAGGAGAGAGCAAACTAGCTTGCCGTACACGTGACGCAATACCTTCGCGGCACGGACTACCGCCATGCCATTTTTGGCCTTAATGAATAGGGGCAGACTGTAGTAATATAGGCTAGATAGGCTGCTGCATGACGAAGGCGCAATATCTTCAGGCGCGGACGCGACTTTATTAGCCGCAGAGCGCATGAGGCGCAGAAATTACAAGAGGGTGCGCGCGTCGGGTCCGCGTCCGCTCAACTAATATTGCTTCTGCGCCTTCGTCATGCAGTAGCCTTTATCGTCGATTCGTTGGCCGTACGGACTGCTCAACCGCTGCGGACCACGCGCGGCGCGGTTAGAATGTTGCGAGAGCACGATTTTAACAATGGCGAGTTGCTGGAGCAAGCGTTTTACCTCGCGGCGCTGCTCCGCGGTCATGTCCAGTCCGTACAGTCAACGAATCGACATACATTTCTTTCCAACAGGAATAGGTCAAACATGCCATGTGAGGCAGGTCGTCCGCGCCGCTGGAGGCTTTGCATACGCACAGCGCTGCCATTTTGTTAAGTGAGGACTTAGGGAAATGAAGAGACGCAGACATGGATTGTTAACGGGTAACATATACTGTAGCTGCGAAATGGAGCGAACAGTTGCGAGGCGAACTCCCACAATTAAATCTTCTCCTGAATTGGTTTGAGACTTGGTGCAAGTTTGACGGTTAAGACATGCCTTTGCGGTGGTCAACGTTCGCGCTCAAACAAAAGCTAGGGCCCCGCATGCTCGCGAGAGCCGGTGGGTTTTCGGCTATTACATGGCGCGTTAATCCTCCTCAGTTACCTTTCTCCTTCCAGACACGTTCTCGCTACCAGATGTTAACGTCCAGTTACTTAAACGATTTTGAAAAGTACGGGATTCTTCAAGTGGTTTAAGGCCTTGTGGCATCCTGCGTATGCAATGACCGCAAATTCACCGACTCTCGCAATCATGCAGAGCTCTATATGTATGGACGCCGGCGACCTGCTTAACGCATACGCATACGCCGACTTCTTCTAATTTCGAGACCTTGACCCTCTACCGTATATTCACCGTAATCACAGAGAGTTTTGCGGAAAGAACGATATTCGTGGCCAGCATGTCGGACATACAGACGAAGTTTAGCAAAACGACGAAATTCAGCATTGTCCAGATCGCCGAATAATCTCCAGTTTTTTATACTTATTACAGAAAACTAGAACAATTTGTTTGGTGTATAAATGCGTTAAGACTTTTTTATGTTTTGAAAATACGCATTTCGGCAGCTCGAACTGACTGGCGAAGAAACCAGAAGTTGATCTGACTGATGCCGTAATTCTCGTTAGTTGTATTTTAGAGCACCACACCACAGTTTGAAAAGAAGTTCAGATTTATTTCACTACACCGAGGCTACGCGAACCATTTTTTCACTAAAAAAACGTAGGCTATCAAATGAATCTTGAAACGCTGATTCCAAATCTGTTTCGGTATCTGCCTTTACCAAAAAAGGTATTAACATTTCTTGCCATCAAAATTTGCACTGCTTTGATGACATGACTCACCAATGTCGTTGGAATGGTCACTTGAGCAGATAATTTGCAAAATGCCATGAAAACTGTTTTGAGAGCATTTATCGGAAAAATTTCTTGTGTAAAGGAAACCACAAGAGTAACAGGGTCTGGTTGTCTCGGTGGCGGACCTGACTTTTCGGAGAGGTTACTATTGGGAGTAACTTTGTGTCACAGAATATTTGCAATTCAGTAGAAAAATCTATTTTGAGAACGCTCACTTGAGGTAAATTTGGGTCGGTAGTAATCCAGTCGAAACACAAGTTCAAAGCTCCGCGTTAGCTCAGAGATGACTCTGAGAACCCGTCATACTTTGCCGAGAAAAGCTCAAAACGGTGCAAAAAACCCAAAAGTGCCCGATAAAGCCTAAAGAAGTCAGAAGCGTCCGAAAAAGCCCAAATGCGCCAGAAAGAGCCAGAACGCCCCTTTTTGCGCGCAAATTTTAGCGTGCACCTAAACAAAATAAAATAAGTAGAGTCTTTTCAACCCGGAATAGGCGAAACATTCCATGGAGCAGCGCGTCCGCACCGCCACTGGCTCAGCGAGATATATTAGAATGAAGAGAGGCAGAGTGCAAAGCGGAGCGAATCGTTGCAAAGCGGACTTCCGCCAGTCCAATTTCTGCCTAAACTGAGTTGAAATTTACTATGAATATGTGTCTTATTTTTCCAAGTGCTAAGGTGGCCACAAGAAGGGCTTCCCTACTTGTTACTACAGGAATATTTTTTCTAGTCAAGGGAGACTTTGCTTGCTAAATTATCCTTGCTTTGATCTTGGTCTACTTTCTCCACCTCAGTAAACTACAGCGTCCCCAGCTGCTATTCCTCAACACAGCAGTTGTTAAAATAGAACTGGATTCCTTTTACGAAGACGTGGAGAGACTGCCTGCCTGAGGTCTTTCTATAATACAAGTGTTGTGGGATATCATTACAAGAATAATACAGGATTGGGAAGTTTGGGTATGGGTTCCGCAGCGAAAATGACAATCGTCCATGAACTTCCACACGATTCTTCCATGAGAACTATTCTTTCGCACGACTTTTTCATAGAGTTTTGTCCTAATAAAGAGAGTAACGCCAGTGGAATGAGAAGCTTAACAAAACGGCTACGTGGAGACTAAAATCCTTACAAAACGAATTTGGAAGTGCTTAATATTACAGTAGTTTCATTCTTCTGTAGTAATCACCATCATCGCTACCTTGGAGCGGAAGCACAAATCAGTCAAAAGCTGGGCAAGAATTATTGCCCATAGGGTGTTCGTGGAACGGATGGATCAAATTTTGCTGCAATGATGTCTTCTTTATGCAGTTCCAAAGTATATGCGTAAAATTTGAATTTGATCCAAAACAACAAATCTAGATAAGTCTAATTTCAGTCCATTCTGAGACAACTATGCCTAGTGATGTCAGGCTCGACTGGAGTCGCAAAATAAAGTGTCATTTAAAACAATTTTCCTCCAGCAAGATGGTTGTTGTTATGGCAGTAACAGATGTGCTTTCTGATTTCGTAGCAAAATGAAATAAATTCTCGCTCCATCTAACAAAAAATATATTCGCGAACAACTCTCGAACCCTTGATAATCACGACAGTAAGAATAATATAAATACATCTGTACAAGTTTTGGTGTCGTTCTCATCCCATGAATGGTCCTTCAATGTAAATATAAGCAAAGATACAGAGTTCGCTTGGTTTGTCTTCCTGTGAGTGTGATTCATCAGTTTGAAATAGCGCACTAGTCTGATCTTGCTTCCTATACCGACCCAACAGATTTTCCATCAAAGCAGAATTGGTAAAACAATTGGATCCAACAAGCAATGGTTTCTATTCCTTTTTAGACCATATTTCATGTTGCAACCTGAGAATATACAGCTCAATGAGGGAACAGAAACGCCAAGTGTGGAAATAAATTCGATTCAATTTGAGTAAGCCCAGGTAAGCGAAGAAGTTAGAAAATAAGTTTTAGTAGTCTAGTTTTAGTAGTTTTAGTAGTTTATCTTGAACTAATCTTATAACGCCAAGAATTCAGAAAATGTGAAAACGGTGAAAACAGGCGTTTCAAGGCTCTCCGATTTGAGTTTAACAAATGGACCAGCTAAGACCGAGACGCAGAGTTACTGTAGGACTTTATCATCTCAGCTCTAGCAGCATGCTAGCTTGCAGTTTGAAATCCGCAGGCGGGTAGGGCTTCCCCTAGGGCTTAATTCTCCTAACGTTAAGTTCAAGTTGAAGGCAGCGCCGCGGCAAGATTCGAGTTTCCAGTTTTTCACCTATTCGGGACCTTCTCACCATGAGGAACCCATACCTGGGCTTTTCAGCGCATGTAAATGGCGAAAATGAGCATTTTTCGAAGTTTTCTAGGTTTTCGTTCACTGAAAATACGTTGGACGACTTCCGCACCCCCCGACTCTCTCGTTTCGGACTCCGCCTACTTACACGTACTGAATGCGTATTTTTGCCATTTTCATGCGCTGAAAAGCCAAATATGGGCTCCTTATGGCAAGAAGGCTCCGAGTAGGTGAAAAACCGGAAGACGAAATTTTGTGGGGACATGCTTCTAGGCTTTCGATCTTGTGCGAGTGCGTGTCCATGGGGGTGGTGGGGCTTTCACTTGGAGCTAAAAGTTCGCATACTCCAACCTACCCGAACGCTACCTTTGCGATGGCAAAGATATAACTCCAGAAAACATAAGATCCACCGGTGAGTCATAGTGTTCGCAGTGGGAGAACAAGCGTGACCTACAACCCCACCAATGGATTGTCGGTCAAAAGGACCTGATTCTTCGCTGCAATGCTTGCCCGATACTGCTTGGTCGTGAAGCTTGCTATGAATTTTGTTAAAAATTCTACTATTCTAACCCCCTGCATTTGAGATCTAAACCCTCCAATTACCCTATTTTCAGATTTATAAGCCGCACTTCCTCAGCTTTTCAAACGAGCTGCTCAGCAGCTTCATTGTGTTTCGAGAAACAATCCTTATGCCGCACGATTCTTTCAGGCAATATGCAGCACGGTATAGGGTCCTTGGTTGCGTGGTCCTTTGATGTGTTCGGGCCGGTCGGCCGATGTAAGTTAGGACCACCCTGCGGCTTACACGCCTGTAAATAGGGTAGTACCAAGTCAGAATGTAGGTCCAGGAAAGGGGGATCCGCGTTGGTCCGGTCTTCCAACGTTGTCTCTGTGCTATCAGGCCACGCCCACCCCATCATACCTCGCACACTCGAGTAAGGAATAGGGTTTCCAGAAGTCAGGTTTTTGGGGGGGGGGGTTGCATATTTTGCACCTCATATCTGCAATCAGAGCTAGGATTGGCCCCAGAATGAGCAAAATGTTCTCATCTTACTGAAGTCTTGACCCAGGTACACCAATAAAGGAGTAATTTCGTAAGCTCATTTGGAGTCCTCCGCTAAAGCCTGTTTAGCAGACTAGGAGGGAAGGTAGGGACAGATACATGACTCAATGCCTCAAGTAAAATACGATAAAGGTTAGCAAGAGGGATTTCATATTGCTTGCATTGTGTGGGTACTGTCTACTTCCATCCGCCCCATCCCTTCCCCCCCCCCCCCCCAACCTCTTCCATAAGATTAGTCAGTGAGGCCTTTTCGTGCATTTTACATGCGGAGCTTTATTATTGAGCTTGTAAACTCAAGCGGTAGATTTCGGTAATGAGAAAACTTCTAGTACATCATAGTCAAGTATTTTCTTACTGACAACTCATTTTCTTAATAACGTAAGGGAAAATAATATCAAAGTCAAAATTTGCAGAGCTCGTTCAAGTTGAGAACTTTTCAATGTGGCATTGGTAGATGCCATATACATATCACCCCAAATTTTCAGCCGCGCAACTACCAAAGTCAAATTTTCGTAACACATTCGCACTGTGTAAAGCCTTTCCGATGAGGCAATCATAATCTTTGAATTACTTTAAACATTATGATCTACACACATTTGAGCTAACAACAGCAACATAAATTTATTATCTGCCTTTTCTTCCAATTTTCAAGGTTTAAAAGTATAACGATTGAAAGGTCTTGTTTAAAACCACACTGTAACAAGTAGTGATATTGGGATTTGATTTCGTTGTCCTCTTGGACATCTGTCCTGCTGCTTAAGAACGACTAAACTCACCACGAGTAATCTTTCACCCACAAGTCGCGAGCGCAGATAAGTCTGAACAGTAGTTACGTATTTACAGAGGCAAAATTTTACGGACACTATCTCCTATTTGTCGACGAAGCTTATCACTGAAACATCGCAGAGAAGAAAGTGTGGCCAATGCGATCAGTGGTACTGATAAGGGCTTCTTAGCAATAATGTAAAGATCAATGCCCTTTTCTGGAGTTTTTTCTTCTCGCTGTTTTTTTCTCGATTCCAACAGACAGTGGCTCCTCCTTCTCTTGTGATCATTGTTGTGTATGCTTATTCCGTTCATTGGTAGCTAATATGCGACTATTTCTGAATAGAATGACTGGCTCCAAGCCGTCAAGGAGCCAGAAGATGGGCCTCCTCGGGGCCATTTCTTACATCATTGGCAATGTCGTAGGTTCTGGAATCTTCATCACACCAACTACTATCTTTAGCAAGACTGGATCGGTGGGTAACAATTTGGGAATGGAGGTTTGAGCTTTGGGAAATTCATTATTTTTAGATGGGCTTGTCACTTCTTATATGGATTATGGCAGCTTGTATCTCTACACTAGGATCCTTTTGCTACGTCGAGCTTGGCACAAGCATTCGAATGTCCGGTGGCGATTTCGCTTACATGTGCTTCATGAAGTGGTATTTTAATTAGATAGTTCACAAATTCTAGCCCTATGAATTGCTTTACTGTTAGGTAGAAAAGTTCGAAAATTATCTAACCATTATCTTTTGGTAAGTAAATTTGTGTAAATTCGCCAATTCACTCCACGCGATTTTGATCGTCGCGATTCAATCTCGACAAGACAACTGTTACGAGCTCATTGCATGCCGTCAGCTTGCATTTCGGTTGTGATACTTTTCCAGCCCGAAATTTTTGAATAAAATGAAAATGAATGGAAATCGCGGAGATGGAATCGTGACCATCAAATCGCTTGAGCTCTGTCTGAGTCCTCAGACTTTCATAACATTTCTTTTTGGCTTTGAAACCTCTAGTTGTTTCATTGTCAAGGTAAGAAATGCAAAATTCTTTACACTTCTTATCTCATTCATTTACAAGTAATCTACGAATGAATGGAATGTCAGCTAGCTGATTATAGCTAGAGCAAACCACAAGCAGGTATCTCTAACAAAGCTCATTGTCAGAAAGGGGTTTTATCAGGAAAAAAATTGCAAAACTACATACTAGTTGAGGGTTTCTAACGGACACAAAGAATTTGCAACTTTTTTTCCTGACAAGAAAGGATAGTGATCTACGGTGTGACTTCCGCAATCTAGCTCGACCATTTGTGAGTAATTTTTTCGAAACATCTTGGAAAGTCAATAGCTCATTTGACTACCCATGTAAGCTGTTTTCATAATGCTTAATTTGCACAAGATACGTTGGCATGGCATTGGAAAAAGAGCCATCAAGTGCTGATAAATCGGACGCCTGTTTAGGTAAATGAACACCAACTGGTAAAAAAGCACATCTAATACATAAACCTAACCTTTTCGTTGGCTACACTAGTGACTTAGTGAATTCCGAACATAGTAATATCTACTAGATTAATCTTCTCTTCTAATACTGAATCAAGATTTTTGAAAATTCTGGGCAGTAATCTTTAACAGGTTCGAGCCTTGCATGAGATATCGAATTCGCGGTCTAAATGTTGAGGAAGTCCAGACTTTCTCATAGTAATCGTTGAACGGCTGCTAAATGTAAGCAGAGTGTCATTATTTTTTCTGAAGCAATTTCGTGATTTAATTATCGCTGTGAAGTGATGTTACTTTGCACTATAAAAGCTTTTTCTAACGTTTGCAAAAGAATACTATCTCTTATCAAAGCGGAACGAATTTCTCCTCATACTCTTCTATTTTGAGTGCATAGACATCCACTTTTTTACTACAAAAGTTGCTTCGATGAAGGAAAAGGAGTTTCTGTCTATAAGAAAAGGCAAATAACTTTTATACAGTCAACCTATAATCCTATTCCAGTTGATGCATATGTCCGCTAGAATGTATACAGATCTAACCGCATTACTTAGCATTGCTAGATCCAACTTGAAAGTTTAGAAATTACTATACACCACATTACCCAGTAATATATCCATAGTTATGTTAGTTACCCATGGTACTAAGGCGGGTAGGAGCCTGGCTACCACCTTGTAGGATTCACTGGACATATTTGCCAGCAATGGATGCTACATATCCATTATCCATTTCAGGTATCCCATCGCCTTTGCTTTCATGTGCATCGGATGTACGATCAACTATCCAGCAACTCTTGCTGTTCAAGCTCAGACGTTTGCGGAGTACATGTTCCAGGTAAGACGATTACTCGAGATAATAAGATAATATACCCTTTACCGGCCTTATAAGGCAACAATATAGGAACTAAGCATCTGAAAACCTATGCTTCTTTTATCATTTGAAGCTACGTTCAGAGTAGATACAAGTTTTCCTTGTGTATGTATAGAAACATTGTTATTGGGGTAATCCGGTCCCATGAACTTTTCTGTTAATCAGCATAAGTTCACTTTCATTGTAGTTGCACAATTTATAGTTTAGGAGTCTATAGATTATTTCTTTTCCAGGGTATAGGTATTCAACTCGATGCGGACTCGGCATTTTGGTCAAAAAAGCTTGTTGGATTTTCTTTGATGTGTGAGTGTTGCAGTCCATTCCATGTTGAGACAAAGACAGAATGCAGGAAATCTTTCTGCACCAGTACAATCTTTTATCACAATGAGCGTTCTATGTTTCATTAAGTGGTTGCGAAAGTAATGTCGCTTTTTTCAAACGAACGCCACATATCGTGAAACAAAGACATGTAAGTGGTTCTGGAAGCATGTGACGCAGCATTTCATTCTCTTTTTAATGATTGTATAACCGCTGCAAAAAAACATATGCATCAAACACCAATAAATCTTTGGATTTTGAAACTTATAAAGATGGATTATGGTTTGACACTAATTTTACAAACTAAATGAGCATCCACCGCTTCAGATAAGCAACTTTCGAAAATTCCGGGTACAGCCTGGGGCACCCTGGAAAGGCAGAATTATGATGGGTTTATCCCGGAAAACTTGATGAATCGGAAATAAAAAACAAATGGTAGAAAGAGGAGAAAAAGCTGCGTCGAATGACACCCGAGTTGCTTGCCGGTTGTTGTTCTGTGAGGTTTGAGTTGACCAAATATGGAACTTGATGGCATTGAAAAATTGGTTCCAGAAACTCAAAGAAGCAAGCTAAGAAAAAGAAAAATTTACTCTGTGTCCTATAAGATTTGCTCTATCTATCAGTCGCTTGTACTTCTTTGGAGAATAGGTACGAAAATCTAGAAATAAATAGCCGAACTCGACCATGCAAAAAGCAAGAGTTGCAGATTTTGGTGATTTTTGAGAGCTCATTTTTTTTCATGAATATGAATTTTGTGAATAAAGAAATTATAGCCTTTAGAAAGAGGATGAAATGCTGCATCGAATGCTTCTAAAACCTGTTGGAAATCTCGATCATGAAATGTGGCTTTGTAAAAAGTAGAGAAACACCAGTTTGGTCCCTTTTCCCCTTGCGGACAAGCACACCAGGAGCAAGAATAGAGTTTATCAAAAAAAAGACAAAAGACAGAGTCAGAGCAAGTCTGCCTTGTTGGCAGTCCTAGCGGAAAGGCAGACAAAATAAAAGATGAACAGAAATAGAAAAAAAACGATAAGTCGTTGCGGCTGCTGCCGCTCCTCGTCGTAGCAAAAATCAACAACAACAAGAACGAACAAAACAATCGACAAGCGCTATGGCGCGCGTAGGTCAAACTATTAGATCAAAGCGGTCCTTCTTCCTTACACGCCCCTCCTCGAGAAGTCACCTCCGGGGACTTGTCCGTGATACCGTCCGCGCTGCTTCATATGTGGGGCTTGCTCCATCCGCTTTGCTATGGGATCTCGCAAATACATGATTTCCGGCTTCCTCATCCGCTTCCTTTTCGCGTCGGGTTCTCCTTCAGTTCTTGACGGGTTGCTTGGCTCTCCCTTCTTCTTCTCCCGTAGCTGGAATGTCGGTAGGCGTAGCGTGTTCGAGGCTGCTTCTCGCAGCTGCTCCAGGAAGACCAAAATCTGCCATCCGTGCAACTTATCCTCCCCTTTCCGGGGGCTTACTCCCAAACATGTGGCCGGGTGGAGCTTCGGGACTGCATCTTCTAACGGTCCGTAGTGGTCTATTACCTTGGCATCAAACCCCCTGGCCGGGCCAGTCAACATTCGCACGACTTCCACGCAAACTTTCCGAAGTTCCTCCCACTCGTCCTTGCGCGCCTTCTCGAAAGGTGGAGGGAAACAGTCTAACGTTCCACCACATTGCAAATGCCTCTCGACGGCCTGCATGCTCCTTCTCATCTGGGCCGACCTCGGCATTTTCTCCGGCCAAACCCATAGCATCGCTGCGCTAATGGGGATTTTGTTCAATTGATCCGCCATGTCGTCAAGGTGGTTGTATACCACGAACTTCACTGAATCTTCCGCGACGACCTCCGTCCGCGCACGCTCGAAAGCCTTCGGCAAAGCTAGAATGATCGAATTCGTCGGCATGTCGTCTCCATCCAAGTGGCTGAGTTGTTCCTTTCTCGCCAATGCTTGGTTGTAATATGCGGACAAATCGTAATCCGTCTTTTGCGTGAAAATGTCCGGATGATGGAGTCGCTGGCCTTCCTTCTCGCGCAGGGCCATTGCGAAATCGTGGCAGAACGACCGGTGGGCTGAGATTGCACAGCTTAGTCCGATCACCGACAAATGCGTCGATTGCTTCTTCAACAACTCGTTTTCTTTCCTCCAGTCTCCCCAAGTGGGTTCCAGCGCTATCGACGCGACGTTTGCGAGTTCAAACAAGTTTTTCACTTTCTTCGACCTGGCCAATTGGCATCGCAGACCCGGTAGTGCCACGTGTGCGCGTTCTCCGAATATCCCACAGTTGCAGGGATGCAGCAGATGCAGTGGATCCGTTCTCGGGTCTCCGACTTCGACTCTGAAACATAACACTTTAGAACTCGAGACTTTTCTCGGTCTACCTCTTTTTGCTTTGGTTATCGTTACTTTGCCAGGCTCATTTTCGGGACCCCGGGACACCTTCTTAGGTCTACCCCTTTTTGCCCTTCCCCTGTGGGTTTTCACAGGCTCATTGTCAACCCCTCGGGGCACTTTTCTAAGCTGATCGAAAGGTACGCGCTTAGGCTCGTCGTTCGCATTTATCAACGTAATTAAAGCGCTGTTGTCACTGAGTTCAATCACTCTAAAGGGGCCTGACCAATCGTTAGCTAGTTTAGGATGGTTAGATGAAGCCTTTTCCATAGGTATCTTCATATACACCCGGTCGCCTAAAGTCATTTTCCGCGCCTTTTCGTTTTGTGCGCGAGTAAATTCATGAGTCATGCGCATCCCTACCACAAGCTCATTTACGTAACTATCCAGGTCCACCATATAAGTTGTGATCCCATTATCAGCGCTGTTTCGGGGTACATAAGGATCGAATCCATGGAGTAGAAAGAATGGTGATTCACCAGTGGACTCGTGTATAGCAGTGTTATATGCTAACACACAGTATGGAAGCATCTTGTCCCACTCCACCGGAATCTCTACCTTCTTTCTCAGCAACTGTACGATGGTTCTGTTGAATCGCTCCGTCAACCCATTCTCTCTGGGATTGTAACCTTTAGTGTATGTTTGGTTTATCCCTAAGGTCTTGGACAACTCATTCAGCATCTTGTTGTCAAACTCCCCTCCTTGATCAGACAGGATACATTTAGGGAATCGGCAACCTTCTGCTATCCATCTTTCAAACAGTACTCTAGTAACTTCTTCCGCTGACTTGGACGCTACAGCATAAGCTCCTCCATACTTTGTAAAGTGGTCTATGACGCTCAAAATGTAGCGGTTTCCACTGGTGGTTAGTCCCATTTCCAGTATGTCGATGCCAATGATCTCGTATGGTTTGGAAACAGCGATGGGTTTCAAAGGTGGCGTCATTTTGGGTTTGTGGTTGTATAGAGTGCACATTTTACACTCTTCCGCCCATTCAAGTATGTCCTTATGCATACTATCCCAGAAGAACTTTTTGGACAACTCTCTCATCAGTTTACGGGGACCAAAATGTCCTGCCAGCAGCGATGAATGAGCCTCCAAAAACACTTCTTTGCGGCGTTCCTTTGGAACTATTCTTCTATAACCATTCTTCTCCACGAGGCACAAGTAGCCCTGTGATAGTGTGAAATCTGAGACAGTATAGTTCCTCAGAATTTTCCTCGAGGGTGGTTCCTTCCCTTGCTCCAATGCTTGTATGATACCCCCGTAGAGTGGGTCTCGCCTGAGCTCCACTGTCCACTCAGGTTCTTCGGTGACTGCTGCTACAATGAGCCCGTTTGCCAGACTCTCATCCTGGTCTCCATCCTGGGCCTGCGCAGCGCCTCGACTCAAGGCATCCGCGACCCTGTTTGCCGCTCCTTTTAAGTAAACCATCTTGAGGTTATACTTTTGTAACTCGAGCGCCCATCGTAGTACCCTTGCTGAGACATTAGCCCTAGTAAACAAGGATGTCAGTGGTTGGTGATCTGTACATACTTCTACACTTAGTCCGTATACGAACATGTGAAATCGCCTTAGGGCAAAGACTACGGCGAGGGCTTCCAGATCCGTAATATGATAATTACGTTCGTTTTTAGTGAGCCCTTTTGATGCAAAATAAATAGAGTGGAGCAGACCATCATCACCCTTCTGGCTAAGAACTGCTCCTAATCCCGAATAGCTGGCGTCAGTATGGATTTGAAATGGTTTCTCGCCACTTCGCGCCCCTTCGACGTCTGGCTGGGTTAACACCGGAGCCGATGTTATCACCTTTTTCAACAGTTCGAAAGCCTGCAATCGTTCTGGTGTCCATTCAAATGGCTGTTTTTCGGAGGTTAGCTCATGCAAAGGCGCAGCAACTTTCGCAAAGCCAAGGACAAATTTCCTATAGTATGAGCACATACCAATAAACGTTCTTAGCTCGCTACGACTTTGAGGTAACGGATACTCCACGATTGCAGAGACCTTTTTCGGGTCCATGTGTATTCCTTCTGCATCCACAAGATGACCTAGGAATTCGACTGTGCGCTCTAACAAGGTGCACTTCCTTGGATTGAGCTTCAAGTTTGCCTTTCGAAAAGCTTGAAAAATTTGTTCCAATCTTTCTATGTGACGCTCTACTGTCGCTGTTGCTACCACTACGTCATCCAAATAGCAAGCTACTTCGTCACCTAGAAGATGACCGAGGACTGCATTCATTAACCGTTGGAAAACTGGAGGGGATGATGCCAATCCAAATGGCAGAACGTTAAACTCGTACAGTCCTTCCGTCGTAACGAATGCACTCTGCGTGCATTACTCGTCAGTTTTATTTGCCAATATCCCGAGGCAAGATCCAAGGTTGAAAAATACTTCTTTCCCTTGAGGTTTTGGAGAATTGTATCAATCCGCGGCAAGGGATAGCTATCCACTTTTGTGACTTGATTCAATTTTCGATAATCCACGCATAACCTCAATGTGCCGTCCTTTTTCTGTACCAGTACTATGGGAGCGGCCCAACTTGAATGACTGGGTTGAATGATGTTTCTTTCCTGAAGATCGGTGAGGATTTGCCTCAGCGCTATCCTAGTTCCCAATGGAATTGGTCTTGGCTTTTGACGTATCGGCTGTGCCGAGCCTGTGTCAATATCATGCTCTACAAGCGAGGTCTGTGTGAGTTCTTGGTCTGTGATAGCAAACACATCGCTATTCTTTTCCACTAGGTTTTCCCAAGCCTTGTCCTCACCTTGTTCAGTTTTCTTTTCCCTTAGCATTTGCAGAAGACGAGCTTTCCTCTCAGGTGGAGGTGTTGTCGTCCGCTCTAGCATATTAGCATAGTGAAGTGGGGCTTCTTCCGACAATTCGGCTTTTCCCCACTCACCAACTATCTCGCCGACCCGGTATATCCTTGGTTCTGTCGATGAATTGGTGATGGGGATCTTCACTGCCCCATTCGCGGTGTCGCATACTGCATTAGGAACTAAGCTATCGCTAGACCACAATACTTCTGGTTGTTCGGTCGAGGTGCTTGTCAGTTCCAGTCCTTTGGTTTCGCCAGGCCTGATGTAAACACGTGCGGCTACTTTGGCATGCTGCATTTCCTTAGCCTTATTGTATTTTCTGGAATGCTTTTTACGCCATCCTCCGACCCTTTGATGGTTTGTTCGCTTTTCCGGACACCTGCAGGGCCTCCCTTCCCTGCAGACTGAGAAGCCAAGTGCCTGCAGGATGTTTGTACCTAGCACTATCCTGTCATCACCTCCTTTCATAACGAAGAAGGCAGCTCGGCATCGAGGTCCATCGTCTATTTCTAGGGTAAGACGAATAGCACCTTTAAAGGTCATCAAGTTGCCAGAAGCGTCATAGACTGGTGGGTATTCCTTCTGCGGAATCTGTTCCACGTCTCCGTCTATATCGAAACCCTTTTCCTGGGCTGTCAACAGCAGCTCCAGAGGCATGATGCTAATCTGGGATCCAGAATCCATTAGTGCTTCCCTTTGCAGTCCAAGAAACTTCACCGTTTCTAGTGTTTGACTGCCTACCAGGTCGCTAGCGTTCTTCTTTGCTACTGTCGTACATGCCCAGTGCCGCAGTACAGCAGAGAAAGACCCTGCTCCGCGTACACTGGCGGTGCTTTTGCCCTTGGCTCGTTCTGGCACTGGCACTTCCTTGGGCCTTCCGGCCGCGTATTGAGCCCTTGGGATCTTCTTGCAGTCCCTTCTGAAATGTCCAGGCTTCTTACAGTTGTGGCACACCAACTCCCGCTTCTTTGATCCTTTGTGCTGCATGTTCTGGTCGGGGTTTTCCGGTCCTGCGTGTTCTTGACACTCCTTTTCAGCTTTCGTTTGATTCATGTGCTCGCGCCGCTGTGTCATTTGTTGTCTTCGCTGGAGCCGTTCAGGCTTGTTTGTGGCCTCCTGCTTCAAATGCAGCGCTACTTCCCTACTCCTTTCTATCCGCTGTGCAAGGGCTTTGAGCTTCTCATAGGCTTCTTCTGCGGGAGTTTGTTCTACCTCTGTGAAGAGTTGAACATACTCCGGCCAGTCCGTGAGTTGTGCAATCAACTCTCCGGTGCGCAAAATGGAAAGCTCCCTTTCCGACGATTCGGGGTATGCTGCCCTGGTCAGCTGTTCCAGCCGAACACAATACTCCGAGATACTTCCGGAGTACAGAATGTTCTTGAGGCTGATGTATGCCTCCATTCTGTTGGCAGACTCATTTTCCTTGAATTTGGCCTTTAACGCGGCTACAAATCCTTGAAAAGTTCCTTCCCGAACCTCTAAGGGGAGAGTCTCTACCACAACCCGAGGTTGTCCCGCCAGTTTTGAGCATAACAAGTGGATGAGCATATCATCTCCCAAGCTCAGTCCCCCGTACTTAATCATAAAAGAGCGCAAAAATTTGTCGAACCCTTTGCCTTGCGCGCTATCAAATACTGGGACATCTGGCAGAGCCATTGCGGTAAATGCGGAGCACATTACATTTGTTAACCCCGTTTCCGAACTGAAGTTTTCATTCCTACCTTGGGAGTTCTGCCTCAACGTCGTGGAGGGGAATCCCGGCGGCCTTGGCGGCTCTCTCGCGGGCTGCTCTCTCTGCAAAGAAAGGATTGGTCGCCTCTGCGGCAGGATGTTGCGCCTTACTTGCGCAGTACTATCACTTGAATGATTACCTCGTGCCGCTGCGATCGGGTCGAATTCTGCCATCTCCATGTTTCTTGGCACTTCACCAGTGCGCACTTGTCTGAGTGCGTCTTGGAAACTGGTTGATGGTTGATCGCTCGGCACTGCATTTTGGCTCTGAAATAACCCACCCTTAGTTATTTCCAGACCTTCTACACCCGTTCGCGGCTCCTCTATTCGCGAATTTTCGGACGCTGACTCTAGAATGCGCTGCACGCTCTCTACTACTTCGGTTGAGTCTACCGCCAGGAGTTGTGACAGCTTTCGCATTGCGCAATCGTCATATTGAGCTTGCTCTAGCGTTTCGAACAGATTCTTCTCTAGCTGCTCTATGTCCACGCTTTTTAGGTTGCTAAGCTCTTTCCCGAGCTGCTCAATTTTTCGCGCTTCTGTCTCTAGCCTATTGCAGACTTCGTCTAATTGCCGAAACTCAGCGCCGATACTCTTCGGGCTTTTCTTAGCCTCCGCTTTCCGCGTACTTTTATCCACAAGGTTGCGAATTTCTACTATGCATTCGCCTATACTTGTAGATATCATGCTTACCTGAGGTGCTTGCCTTCCCGCCAGTTGGCGCACCTGCTGTGCCAGGCCGGCAATCTGCGCTTGTAGTTCTTCCATGCGCTTGCCGTCGTTGGCCTCTGACAAAAGCATGGCCTCCATTTCCTCGTCAATATCGGCCATTTTCCTGCAACAGGAAAAATCAAGCTGTATCGATAAACTCCTGTTATCGATCGACGAGGAGGTACTGCTTCACTTGGCTCTGAAGCTAGTACTTTCAAGCTCCTATTCACCCTACGGTGATACGGGTCCCCTCGAGCAGAGGTTCCCCTATACGTGGGTCCGCTCACGGCCTCCGCAGACAATCTGTGGACTGACCGGCAGTTCACCCCACGGTGAATCCAGGTACCACCTCGATCAGAGGTTCTCGTACCTGTTTGTGTGCTTTTTAAGTCTTCCACAGACGACCTGTGGATCGACTCGCACACTACGTCCGCAAAAGAGACAAAGAAAAAGAAGAAATTTCCCCCTCAGAAAACTTTTCAGAAGAAAATTCCCTTTTTCAGTTTTGTTCGGCCCCCATGTAAAAAGTAGAGAAACACCAGTTTGGTCCCTTTTCCCCTTACGGACAAGCACACCAGGAGCAAGAATAGAGTTTATCAAAAAAAAGACAAAAGACAGAGTCAGAGCAAGTCTGCCTTGTTGGCAGTCCTAGCGGAAAGGCAGACAAAATAAAAGATGAACAGAAATAGAAAAAAACGATAAGTCGTTGCGGCTGCTGCCGCTCCTCGTCGTAGCAAAAATCAACAACAACAAGAACGAACAAAACAATCGACAAGCGCTATGGCGCGCGTAGGTCAAACTATTAGATCAAAGCGGTCCTTCTTCCTTACAGCTTTCATTTTTGAAAGAAGCGACATTACTTTTGGAACGACCTAATATTTTGGATCATTCACATTATTATTTTTAGGGTTGCTTCTATTTTTGAACTACTTTTCACTCAAAACATTCGTTTCCCGCTTTCAAATAGCCGCTTCAATAGCAAAAATCGCTGCAACAGGATTGGTGATTGGAACTGGTTTCTACTACCTCATTTTCCAAGGTGTGTTCTATGATAAGCAATGGGAGGACCGAAAAAATCATTTTTTAGGTGAAACACAAAATTTGAAAAGCCCATTTGCTGGTTCGGACTGGAACATTGGAACTATAGTATCCGCGCTATTCACCTGCTTGTTTGCATATGATGGTTGGGACATTCTGAATTTTGGAGCCGAGGAGATTGAGAAGCCAAAAAGGTTTCTTTGAGTGTGATTAGAGCCTCAAAGTACGAAATATCTATGAATTGTAAGGAAAAACACCATGGAATGCGAGTAGTGAATCGCAAAAAAAGATTAATGAAAGATAAGCGTCCTTTTGGAGTGAAGCCAAAGCAAAGAACAGTATTCTGTTGTTGTACAGGAGACAACAAAAGAGATTGTTTTATTTGTATGTTGTAATCAAGTAGTACTTACGAAATGCCTTTTAATTTCACAGTTACTTTTTCGTTCTATTCATTATGTGATAGAGAAGATTCTTCAATTTTATAAAATTTTTTAGCCTAAAATTACGATTGTTAATCAATTCTGTGGAAAACGCCTTCCACTTTTCAAGTCAAAGAACGACTTTTTGAGAACTGACTTGATTGACATATCGTATGTATCACGTTATATGGATTCATCGACTTCTGATAACTACATTTGCTATCAGAAATCAGAATGGTTTTTTTTATAGTTGAAATTAACGAAGTTCTTGGTTTTGCTTGAGTTTTTTATAAGATGTAAGGGTTAACCATAATAAGGGTTCTTCTAAAAGTTCTGCTTTGTAACTAGGAGGTTAAAAGTTTACAAACTTGATAGGGCCATTTTTTGGTCACTTTCTCTTTATCGAACAAAAATCTCCTAGCAAAAATTGTCATTTAGTAATAAAACTACACTTTGAATTATTTCCACACACAATTTTCGCTACGAATAACGCTTACAAAGCCCTTCAAATCTTTCCAATCTTTTTATATGGTTTCTACAGCATTTTCGTCGTTTTGCATGAATATTCCTTCCTTCAGAACAATGCCTCTTGCAATTGTGATTGGCATGTTATGCATTGCGCTAATCTTCCTTGCTGTGAATTTCTCGTACTTTGTAGTTCTGGACCCTGCCGAAATGCTTGAAAGTGACGCTGTCGCTGAGGTAAGGCTCTTCTCCCCCTTTTCTCAACTAAAAAAACTTGAAATTAGCTTATCAGGGTATGTCATGAAAAGGGGACTTTGAGTGCGTTGCAAGTCAAAAATTATGCGTGCTATCGTTAATTTTTATAAGTTTAAAACTCTACAAAAATGTCGACATTGAGCGTTAATTCTTGGCAAAAACGTCATTCTGAGAGTCTTCAATCAGGCTATTTTCATTTTGATTTTGATAATTTATACCAAGAATAGTTTCAATGGTGGACTATCTGTGACATTCAGGAGCTGCTGCAGGAGCAATTAATCTAAAAAGTTCACTCTTCGCATTTTTTTTATAAAGTAGGAATAATTCTTCCTTCAAATTGAATGAGTCGTTGAAAGAGCTGAAGACGCTTTTCAAAAATCTACTACTCTGTGAATGGATCACAATATCGATAATCAAGGAATGTAAACGTGGTCAAGTCTAATGGTCAGATATATTTACCATTTAATAATAACTGAGGATCATTTTTTGCATAGAGGGTCAAATGGTACCACCGAAATTGCTTTTCCTGTCCTTGTCAGCAGGACCAGCATGACACTGCTATTCATTTAGTTCATCATCTTGGTTATACTATATCATCCAATTCCAGACATTTGCTCACGTGGCTCTCAAAAAAGCAGCGTTTATTATGCCAATCTTTGTAGCTATACTTCTTATTGGATCTCTGAACAGTACAATGTTCTCCGCTAGTCGGTAAATGTTCTCAGCATCCCTTCTATCTATTCTCTGAATAATTTTACTTTCAGATACCTGCAAGCGGCTGCAAAGCAAGGTCAATTACCTTCTTTCATTAGCTGCATCAACCCGACTAGCGATTCGCCCAGGACAGCTTTATCACTACATGTATGTCAAGCTCATCATTTGTAAAAATTTTTTTGGTAATCAAAATACTCTTTTTGCCATATTTCATCGAAAAAAATTTGAATTTGCATTCTTCAGCAAAGGAAACAATGAGTCAAAAAATCAAAAATCTTGGAAGTTTAAGGTTTTAAAAAAGGGCTTCTTGACTTCGACCAAAAACCAGCCCATTTTTTTATAGATCCTCATTGCTATGGTAGTCTCTTTTGCTGGAAATCTAGATAATCTGATCTCATATGTGTCTTTCGCACAGTGGTCTCAACGAGCCTGCACAATGGGTGCGCTGATTTGGATTCGACTACGGTAAATTCCGCTTACCTCACTTTAACTATAGTTTGAGGACCACATTTGAAAGCTGTGAATTATCAGACATTGGCCAGTTCATCCTGATAAGATTCGCATGCCTATCATCATGCCAGTTTTCTTCTGCATTGTCTGTACAACACTGGTAAGAGCTCTTCCCAAATGAAATTCTAAGTGAATTTTGCGATTTCAGGTGGTTGTAACAATTATTGACAATTTCTCATCAGCTGTTGTCGGACTAGGTGAGAACTTTTTTTCAACTGGCAAAATTCTTAAAATTCTACATTATTTTCTTGCAATTTCAAGCAGTTTATCAAGCTTCTTCTCACAACATATTCTCTCATGGAAATTCAACGGTTTAAAAATTTTTACATTAAATTATTTGCACTCATGGGTAGAAAGATCATCTTTTAGGATTTTTCTTATAGTGTGTACTCCAGCCAGCTTCCCATAGGTACCTCCACCGCAGGTCAGGCTGCCTTCAAGGCGCTCCTGTTTCTTGCGCTTTCAAAGTTTTCAGCTTTTTATTCTCTTTCTTTGCTTTCTTCTTATACTCTCTATTTCAGGCAAGAAGGTCTTTGAGTGTGGCCGATAACGGCTGCAACGCATTGTCTGTTATTCCACACACATGTTGTGGAGTTGAACAGGTAAGACTGGATGCGCCGGTTGCTGCAGCAGACCCCCTTTTGGGTTTTTCTTCCAGTTGGCACAACTTCTGCTTTAAGAGTCGCAAAGCTTCTACAGTGCTGGACATAATTATACAGCCACTCTAGAAATCGTCGTAATTTTTGTTCTTGTCAATGAATCTGTCTGAAACTTTGCTGTATTGTGCGCATGTCAACCCACCATAACCCCTCAAAACGGCTTCCAGTCTTGTTGAGTTTGAACGAGAAAAACGAAAAAAATCGAAAAAGCCCTCTTTGAAAGCTGGACAAATTTATACAGCCACCTGGTTTTTCTAATCACTATCGCATTCGTTGACTCTCAAATTTTTTTGTACAATTACATCCCAAAATATGAAACATTTGCGACACTTACGGCCTGTCTTCCTACTTAGAAGCAATCGCTGCATTTCTTGCTTTTAAAAGCATCAAAAGTCAATCTCCTTCAACAAACAACTGCTTTGAAGAGTTTTCAAGCTTTTGTTCACTTCAAATGATAACCATGGAATCTACTGACCCTTCTGGATAGATGAGGTGAAGAGCGCTTCCGTGAACTCTGCGTAATCGCTGATTTTGACGGACAGACTCCAATCTCACCATAGGGTTGACGCACTTTTGCACCACAAAACTCGATTTTCAAGCAACAGAAAATACTGCAATGTAGCCATTACGACAGCCATACAACAGTGAACTCGTGTGCATGACTGGGAAGAAATTTCGGGACTGAGCACTCTGATTCAGCCGCAGTTGACATTCACTGAATGTTGAGTGGAGCACCCTGTACAATCAAAGCCAACTCAGATCACGAGATAAAACCGGAGATGCTTAAAACTTCAAAATCTTAGCTAATCTCATTCATCGGGTGAAATATGACATGAAACACAGACGGAAATAAGGAGATCTAGGGTTATATCGAATCTTCCGCTCGCAGCGAATTTTTGTGGAAAGTATTCCAGGTCTTAATCGCTGCCGCATCATTAGGAAAAACCTGAAAGTTGTTGCGAAAGCTGTATCCCCATGTAGACAATGTGATAAATCAAGTTCAGCACTTTGTGGACATTGCAAACTGAGTTTTGTGGTTTAAAAGCGTTCCAAGCCTATGTTGAGGTTGGAGTCTGTCCGTCAAAATCAGCGATTACGCAGAGCTTACGAAAGCGCTCTTCACCTCATCTATCCAGAAGGGTCAGTAGATTCCATGATTATCATTTGGAATGAACAAGAGCTTGAAAACTCTTTAAAGCAGTTGTTTGTTGAAGGAGATTGACTTTTAATGCTTTTAAAAGCAAGAAATGCAGCGATTGCTTCTATTTGAGTAGGAAGACAGGCCGTAAGTGTCGCAAATGTTTCATATTTTGGGATGTAATTGTACAAAAAAATTTGAGAGTCAACGAATGCGATAGTGATTAGAAAAACCAGGTGGCTGTATAATTTTGTCCAGCTTTCAAAGAGGGCTTTTTCGATTTTTTTCGTTTTTCTCCGTTCAAACTCAACAAGACTGGAAGCCGTTTTAAGGGGTTATGGTAGGTTGACATGCACACAATACAGCAAAGTTTCAAACAGATTCATTGACAAGAACAAAAATTACTATGATTTCTAGAGTGGTTGAATAATTATGTCCAGCACTGATTATAGCGGAGTAGGCGTGAACTTACTCCATGTTTGACCCAGACTGACAAATTTAGAGTGTTCAGTTACGAGTGGCAGGTTGATGGAAGAGTATTGTTAAGCATTTTTCATATGTGTTTTATTGTGAGGAACGGTCCATGTTTGTCCAGTAACGTATGAGTATTTTGACTCTCTCTCTCTCTCTTTCTCTTTCTCTCTCTCTCTCTCACTTCTTCCTTCTCCACAAAACATGAATGATTACCAAAGTTTATCCTTATGACATAGCATTATAGTAAGTGAGTAAAAGAGGTGAATAGACAGACAGGTATACAGGTGTAACATAAGGGGTAGATGAGAGTAGTAAATAAGGAGATTACAATTGGAGGTAGATATCGAGGGTATTGAAAAGGTTGCATCATACGAACGATACTTGAAGAATACAAAACAATGATAGAGGAAAATGAGGGAAAAGGAAGTGAGGGCGATTAAATTAGTTTCAGAGGTGCAGTAGTGCCAGCCGAAGCTGGCGGCGAAAGTGCAAGAGAACCCCCGAATGGGGGTTACCTTCCTTTGATACTCGCATTAACGGCCGGCTGTGCGGGCGCAATCAATAGCGCAGTGGTGGTAATTTGCGCTTTGCTACAGTATCCTCTGTTCTATGACGAGAAGAGGGTGGAGGACTATATGTCGCCGAATTTGGAAGTCCCGCGCGGATTCCCTGCAGGAACGCATGTCCGCACAAGAGTGCCTATTTGTCGCAAATGACCGCGGGGACAGCCCTTTTTCGGCGACATATAGTCCTCCACCCACGAGAAGACAATCACAGTGTCTGAACACTGAACTTGTTTTCTCGTGCCTCCATGTTGCAAATATCCTAGATGAAAAAGACTACATGTACGAAATTGCCCAAACACGAGTAATGGCATCAAGCTTGTTTAGACAATGTGTGCAAAGCGGTATCGAGTCTTTTATTCACACAATAGAGAAAATCTTGTCTTCCATAACCTGCTACTCGGAACTGAACACATTGTATTTGTCAGACTGGGTCATGGAGTCCACAGGAATTGAGCCAACCTGAAGAGAATCCAAGAGAGGTCTGCAATTGGCCAAACCGTGCTTTACCTGGTGACTTTCAACAGCGTGAAATAACAGGGAGGACGACGCTTGCAGCCGTTATCGGCCATTTCTAGACGCTCTAGCCTGCAATAGAAGTATAAGAAGAATGAACAAAGAAAGAAAAAGAAAAAAAGCTAAAAACTTCAAAAGCGCGCGAAAACATGAGAGGGCCTGGAAGGCAGCCCGACCGCGTTGCGTGCGCGGCGCGGAGGTGAAAAGCTGGCCGGGGTACACACTATACCAACATATTTAATTCAGTTCTTTGACATATCCGCATTTATAGGTATTTGGGTTGTTGGCTTTATCGTTTACCTTTTATTCATTTTCGAGCGAGCTCTTCCTTCCAGTGCTGCCTACAGGAAAATAACAGACAAACTCAACGGTGGGCTTTTACCTTGAATCATATTCATATAAGCAAAGAGTTTTCAGATAACACCACACAATGGGCACAGATAATTTTCGACGTGATGCCCGAGCGCGGAAATGATGAAGATCGGGAAGATGCTATAACGGCCGCAACAGACAAGGTGCAGCATCATGATAGCTGATAGCATCGTGATGCTCATGTGAATCGCTACTCATTTAGGTGTTTCCCTTCGATACTCGGCCCAAAGCCTTGTCAGCGTTTTCGAATTTGGATGAAGATGAAATGAAAACAAAAATGTAAGATAAGCACTGTACATAGTAATTAATTTGTCTGTCAAATAATTCCGTTTGGTGTAAACTTGTCACATATAACAAAGAAGTTTGACAGCCGAATCTTGCACATAAGCACAGGCAAGTTTTTTCTTATAGTACTACTAGCTGGCATACCCAACTATGCTCGTCTCTGTCAGTACACTATGATAGATGTCACCATGCGTACTGACATACAGGCGCACAGACAGACAAATCTCGCTTTATTGATAAGATGTGCTATAAGTGCAGCGCATACAAAGAGGAGTAGAAATACAATACCACTCGTAATTCGCCGAAAAAGTCGCCGCGCTCTAGCGGGGTGCACCACAGTGCGCTGGAATGCACCGGAATACGTGTCGCATGCCACATCTCGCTTAAGAATGGACGTATTCTGAACCCAACACCATTCGATTCAGCTCGGTGAGACGCATCATCAAGTGTATAGAAGTGCCACAACCTATCGGGGTACGGTAGGTATACGGTCAAAGCAGGTTTTCGCTCAATTTTGCAGGTTTTTGTTTGGTTGGATTGTTCAGTGTGCTGATAACAATACTGACATTGATTTGCTGCCAACGGCACCGTAGGGATACTGTAGGAGTATAGTAGAGAGTCACTCAGATCGAATTTGTCCAAAAATCAGCTCAAGGTACATTACCGCTCACAGGATGTGCAATTTCCGCGACATCGCGGAATTTCTGGAATTCCGCGACATTATTTGAAATCCGCGACATTTGAGGAACTTCGCGAATTAATAAAAATCACACAAACTACGCAGCACCATAACTTCTTTCGGAATGAATATGTTCTGAATCCGTAAAAGCATTGTTCAGCCCGCCGAGGCAAATCTTTTGATATACAGCATGCCCTCGATAATCCGTTTCCAGTTTTCTCAAATTCTTCTGCGGAGGTCTTTTCGCATTACTGTAACATAACCTTTACCCAACATAAAAGGTTTCAGTAAGCACTATTCGATGCAGTGCTCTTGTAGGTTATCGCGCTCTAAGTAATAGCCGCAAACTTCTTTAAAAATAGAAACGCTGGTGAATTCTGGAAAAATCATGCATTTCCAAATTCTACTCGCCGCAACTTTCCTTCGGAATGAATATATTCCGAATCAGAAAAAAGCTTTGTGCCAGCTCATCAGACGAATCTTACGATATACAGCACGTCCTTGATATTTCGATTTCAGTATTTTTGAATTTTTCGGCGGATCTCTCTTCGAAAAGGTGTAAAGCAGCGCGCATTACCAATAGTAGGCTACAGCAAACATTTGATGGTACTTCTTCCGTAGATTATGGATGACCAAAAAGTAGCCTAGGCCCCTTTCCAAAGGAAATAGAAGGGCTGGTGAATTGTGGGAAAATATTGTCGTCCCAAATTCTACTCGTCATAACCCTAGAATACGGAGCTATCTTGCTGAGCAGATATGAAAAGCAGTGGTATCAACGCAGAGTACTCCTACGAGCAAGTTTTCAGAGAACTATTGGACACTTGCTTTTTTTTCTCCTTTCACGCGAAGCTCGCCAGTGAAGTTTGGTGAAATGTTGATGATCTTGGTTTGAAAGGAAGAGGCTCATAGAGGTTTTTGAATACACTGTTTATGAAAATCGTGGTATCTGTCAATTACAGGGTCCTTTTTGGAGAGATACGGTGAGGGACTGTAACTGCATCACGAAAGTACCTAACTTTGCCCGCACTTCTCGCGTATCTGTCTGAAAACTTGCCTGCTTGCTTTTCACAGTCAAAGTTACTAGGAATTGTGCTATCGATTTGTGCATGACTAAGGCTCCAGTCTGTAAAATTCACCGAGTTATGAGCCTACGAAAACACCCTCATGCATTTTGCCCAAAATGTAAAGATCGCATATTTTGTCGAAGTTTCACCGTGAGCGATTGTACAGTCTGCCCCAATCCTAACCAGGCCAAAATTGGCATGGCGGGAGTCCGCGTCACTAGGGTTTCGCGGTCACGCCCACAGCCTGCTTCTCTGCTCTCTCTGCAGTCCCTTTGCTCTCTCCGACAGCGCGCATATGCAGCGCAGATCTCCAGCGCTGCGAGCGTGCAAATTTACGCCGACGGTTCGGCCTGATCCCGATTGGAGCAGACTGTATGACACTCGCATTGCGGAGATTATGTTTGCTTCGCCCAATGTATTGAATATGGTGCTTGCGTGTGCTTCAGCTGCTCAACTGAATATCAAAGCTATTTCGTGGCTAGAGGTTAAACTATCGTCCTTTCCCCAGTATAGCGGGCGGAGCTTTGCCGACGTTTGCCAACGTATACGGTGGGCAGTTTTTGGCAGCTAAAGAGTACAAAGACTAATGTTTTAGAGTGGAGGTTCAACAAGTTTTCACGCGTTCGAATGTCTGCACGGCCACGCCCGCTATACGCATGGGAATCGCCTATACCAAATCTAACACAATAAGATCTATTAAGCGATGTGAACAAATTTGATCAGCTTGTTAACAATCACGGTGGGATTTCAACGAAGTATGCGATTTTTACATTTTGGGCAAAATGCATGAGGACGTGTTTTCGTAGGCTCGTAACTCGCGATTGATATAGAATAATGGCCTGAGGCATGCACCATTCGATGACACAGTTCACACTAACTTTGAGCTATAAAAGCAAGCAAACAAGTTTTCTGACAGGAACGGGGTAGGTGCAGGCGAAATTACGAGCTTTCGTGACTTCGAATTACAGTTACAGTTATATCACCATCTCTGCATAACCCTGTATTTGACAGACACCACGATTTTCATAAACAGCGTGTTCGAAAACCTCTATGAGCCTCTACCTTTCAAACCAAGATCATCAACATTTCGACCAAACTTCACTGGCGAGCTTCAGAGAGTGAAACGAGAAAACAACCAAGTGCCCATCAGCTCTCTAAAAACTTCCTCGTAGGGTTTATCTGACCTGCTGTGGCCGTATTCATCAACGAACCCTGAGGGTTAAACTAACCTTGGAGGGGTTAACCCCTCCAGGGTTAGTTTAACCCTGGGAAGCGGTTAACCCGTATTCATGAAACACAGGGTAGGTTTAACCCTGAGGGTTAAATCTACCCTTGAGGGTAAACCTTACCCCGAAAGCGATTAACCCGTATTCATCAACGAATCCTGAGGGCTAAACTAACTATGGAGGGTAAAACTTACGTAATTCATCAGGGTTGATTTAACTTTAGCTTACAAGGGAATGGTCAGAAATCGAAGTGGCCATTCCAGACAAGCTGGGTACCGTTAGATGCAGCATGAAGCGCTCACTATAAACCTGTCTTCCTTACCTGCTTATCGCTTTTCTGGACGAAGCTATAAGCCATTAAAGACCATTATTTTGCTAAGAAATTATGCGTGAAATTGAAAATCTAGCCGTACAGAGCCACGTTCGCCTCAATGCTGGGCCAAAACATGCAGCTAGCTTACATAAAATTTTTGAAGCCTGAAGCTGAGCTCAAAGTGCAGAAATGTGCTCAATTTCGCTGTTTTTATGTATGATTTCTTCACAATAAAACCGCTTGTAGCTTCGTCCACAGAAGAGGAAGCAGATAAGAAAGACAGATTCGAAATCAGTGTTTTATACTGCATCGAATGATATACAGCTTCTTTGGTTTGGCCACTTCGACTTCTGACCATTCCCTTGTTAGAGCAAGGTCAACTCTACCCTAGCAGCACTTCATACGAACATTTACTCGCATCTGATAGTTTTATGAAAAACGATTAACAGGTATTGTAGTATTTAGTATTAGTTGTTGTTATAGTATTTAGTTTCGACTTCGTTTTATGTTCAAATTCGATGTACATGAAACACCGACTTCGCGAGAAAAAGAATTCTAGCATTAATGACAAATGAATGCGACAAGGAAAAATGGTTGCGCATTCCACTCTGACAAGTGCCAAAACAGAAGAACCCCTTTATGATAACACGCATTGACCCCTAAAAGAGTAGCACTAGCGCGGTATAAAACGAACTGCACAAAAGTAGAACTTACACGGCACAATTGCACACATGAAAATAAACTCACGCTGTAAGATTGAATGTTGCACAAATATGCTAGACATGTATTATAAAAACTAGTGTTAGAAGCTTTTTCGTTGATTATACTGCTATAACAGTGAAAGAATAGGAGTATAAAGTGAATTTAGCACGTACTTAGGCATTCTGTGATGAGTTTGCACAACGCACGCGTAACTGACGCCTTAACTTTCCAGGGTTGGTTTAACCCTCAGGGTTCGTTGATGAATACGGCCGCATGTTCGTTGATCGATACGGGTGGATCGCGTTCCGTGGTAAACCCTACCCTACGGTTGTGAATACCGCCAATCAATCCTGAGGGTTAAACTAACCCTGGAGGGTAAGTTTAACCCTCAGGGTTCGTTGATGAATACGGCCACTGATTACGAAACTCATATCCAACTAGCAAGATAGATCCGTAATCTAGGGTTATGACGAGTAGAATTTGGGACGACAAGATTTTTCCACAATTCACCAGCGCTTCTCCCTTGGAAAGGCCTACGGCTACTTTTTGGCCATCCATAATTTAAGGAAGAAGTACTATCGGGTCTTTACTGTAGTCTACTAGGCACGAATATACTGCGAACATATTGACAATATTAAATCCTACAACTACCAGATATTGGATACTGCCATTGTTGGCCATTGATCACAGCCTCTCCGTGAATGTGTTGTTCTTATCCAATGCCGCCTCGTCGCATCAAGTGCAATACCATCACATAGAGCCGTCTTCCATGCGATATCATTACATCCACCACGCCGGAAAGATTGGCCTCTGAGCAAGGCTGTGGACGGGGAATAATGATATACAGGGGACTTGAATGAAAGAAAGAAAAAAAGAATTTCAGATGGTTGGATATACAACAATAGTGAGTAAATACAATAAATATAAATGTACAACAACAACCAATCCAAAGAAGATAGAATACCCTTGTCGTTGAATTATAGACCATAGTGCCACTTACGCATTGTTTAACACTCCCTAGCAATTTTTCCAACTCCGCTTGTTAGACGGAGCTTGATATGGTCTTCTCTTCAATGCGTTGATCTTTGCGAAGCAGA